TGTCCATTTGAGGAGGGAACAAGTTCTCTCTCTCTCTGTAACTCTGCCTTTCAAACAAACAAACAAAAAATTCTTATTTGTCCACTGTTTTCATAACTGTTAATTTCCAGCCTCAAAACTGGAACCAAAAGTGTGGAACCAGTGTTGTGGTGCAGGGAGTTAAGCTGCCACATGTGTCACTGGCATCCCATATTGGAGATTCCAGTTCAAGTTGCTTTGCTTCCACTTCAGCCTCCTGGTAATGCCTGGGAAAAGAGCAGAAGTGGTCCAAGTACTTCAGTCCCTGCCAACCACATGGGAGACAACATGGCGTTCTAGGAGACCATGTGGAACAGGATGAATTTGACCTGACCCAGAACTGGCTGTTTTCAGCTTTGGGGCATGTATTGAAGATGACTCTCTCTCTCTCTCTCTCTCTCTCTCTCTCTTCTGCATTTGTCTGTCTGTCTCTTTCTGTCTCTCTGCCTTTCAAATAAATAAATATTCTTAAAAATAATTGGGAGTAAATTATTTTTATTGTTACACTTAGATCCATATAACCTAGAAACTTCATTAAGAATAAAATATTTATATTAATTTCAGTGGTTAATTGACCTTATTTACAAGGCTAAAATAGATACTTTCTCTTAAACTTGATTTAGCATTATTTTTTGAATAATTGTGGATTTTTTAACTTTTTATTTTTGATGATGATTACAAGCTTGATCATGTTGGGAAGAATCGGGGGTTAGGAAAAAGTGGATGTGACCATTGTTTTCAAATTTTCTGTTTCTTCTTCCTGTTTCTGGGGGAAGGAAAGAGATGAACGGGGAAGCCATATCCAGCCTCCCACATGCCCCAGTATCCAGGGGTGGGGAACTGCCACTCAGTATCAACCCAGAGTCCTGATATCGTGCATGCTGAGGGTTCTGCCCAAGTGGTTTGGATAGTTCTGAAATACTGTCGATTTCACCAATTCAAGAATGAGGAAGCCCTCCTAGTGGCCCATTGGCTGACACGGTCGACCTTAAATCTCCATTCACCCAGACTTTTGCTGTCATAGTTTGGCTGGGGTAGTTGTTCGGTTTGTTCTGTTCCCTTTTTTCTGCTATGGTACCCAACAGGCTGCCATATTCTCCATGTGAATCAGAGTATGTGTCTACTGCTTTGCCTTTTTCACTGGGCTACTTCTTGCCTTGATTCTTGCACTCACCTGTAGGGATTGTGGCCCGACAATGGAGTTTCCCAAACTCGATTGTTGTGTGATCTCACACACACCAGTAGGTCCTTAGCCCAGGTTAATTTTGTCCACCTCTTGTCCTGGCAAGAACAGTGGCCTTGCTCAACTGATCCACACACTTTCTGTTTCTTAGTATTAGGTGTTGCAGCCCAGCCACAGCAGGTTGACGCTCAGACAAAGCTTTTACCTGGTTTAGCAGGAATCAAGATCTAGCCCAGCCTGTTCTACACCCACCCTGGCTCTCACAAACACCAGTGGGTGTTGAAGTCTAACCCAGTCTGGTGCTCCCCAGACCCAGTCCACACTTGTGCAGGGGGACACTGCAGCCATGTCCAGCCCAGCCCCCATTCGGGCTGTTGCAGTGGGAACCCCAACCCAGTCAAGGTGTCCCCTTAGCTCCCCAACCAGAAATGCTTCTTGGACTTTTGGCTAAGATCAAGTGTAGCTCCTCATTCCAAACCATAGTTCTTGTGTGTGCCAACAGAGATTGCAGTTGCATAGGGGTGAGCCCACATACCCCCAGAGATTTTGGTACCAGATCTGATTCTCTCATGTGCTGGTTATTGCCATAACCCATCTTAATATCACCTGTCCACTGTTCTGATTCTCACTAGTGGGTTCTGTGATCTGGCCCTACCAGGTAGGCACCCAGCTTTAGCTTTAGTGTATGCCAATGAGTGATGCTCAGTGATGATCGATGCTAACTACCCCAGCTCAGGTCACGTGTGCTGGTACTTTGGTCTCTCTCTCTCTTTTTTAAAGATATTTCTTTTATTTTTATTACGAAATCAGATATACAGAGAGGAGGAGAGACAGAGAGGAAGTGGAGCTGCTGGGATTAGAACCAGTGACCATATGGGATCCCAGCACATTCAAGGCGAGGACCTTAGCCACTAGGCCACGCCACCAGGCACACCCATTCTCCCCTCCAAACCATTTTCTCAGCCGTTTGCTTACCTACATGTGCAGTGGCTTTATCTTTGGAAGTCCCTCAGTAGTAATTCCTCACCTGGACATGAACTCTCAGGTCACTGCTCACCTTTACTTGTGTGATCCCCCAGAATCCCTGAAAATCCACACCCCTAAACCCCCAGAGCATGCTGATGAGTGGCCTGAGGGCTTTACCAAGCACCATTGGCACCAGGGCCACTGGAACCAGCTGCCTGCCAAGTGGGGAGAGGTCCCCAGTCAGGCCTGTGACTGGGGCTACTCGAGGCAGCCACCTTGTGAATTATTATTCTTAAAATTATAGTTCCAGGGACTTGGAACAGTGTGATCAGGGTCCTCCATGGACAAGGCCACTTGCAGGGCTACATTACGGAACCCATCAGTGAGAGTCAGAAAAGGGAACAGGTAATGTGAGGCTAGTGCATGACATTAACCAGCACGTGAGTGAATCAGGTCTAGGGGCAGAATATGTGGAGAGTATGTAGGCTCACCCATGTGGAACAGCAATCCCCTTTGGCAGGCGCAAGATCTGTAGCTAAGAACAGGCCTGGTTGGGGAGCTAAGGGGATGCCCCAGCTGAGTTGGGATTCCCATTGGTGAGTGCGAGAACCTGAATGGGGGAAATAAGCTGGGCTGGTCATGGCTGCAGTATCCTCTTGCATGGGTATGGACTGGGTCTGGGTAGCACCAGACTGGGTTAGACTTCAACACCCACTGGTACTTGTGAGAGCCAGGGTGGGTATAGAATGGGCTGGACTAGGTTTCGACTCTCGCTGAACCACATGAGAGCTGTGTCTGGGCATGGACCTGGTGTGGCACTGATTTAGGATGTGGATCCTGTATTATTTGCCATACCAACCATGTTCAGTGATTTTTGCTCTGTTTTGTTTTATTCATAAGAAAGCACTTGAAGTACATTTTTGTTTTTAAAACCCACCATGCCCTGATTTAACCTCCAAGGTTGGTTGCGGGGTTCTTCTCCAGGGTATACAGCTGCTGTGCATGAGCCTGTGTCTGGCTGTCAGCTCATCAGCCATAGAGGGAGTGACTTCATTACACAGGGTTTAATCAGCTCTTCGTTAGTATATTTAATTTCCGTTGCGGGGACCTTGCTTGGTTATACAATATCTTCCCTGGCAATGGCAGCCTAGCAACGGGTGGAATGCCACCTACCTGGGCAGTGCTCTGGGCTGTGAGGGCCCAGGGAGATGTTAATTATTGACAGTGGTAGATTGGTGGAGCTGTGAGCTGCACTGGGCCCACTGTCTCCTGCAGTTCATGGCTTTCATCTAAAGTGTACACAGGATGTGTTTAGCTGGAGACCTAAAAGTACACTGCCTTAATTACACCTTTCTTGGTGAGTAGAAAGCAATTTGTAAAGGGGTAGAGTGATAATTACATTTAATCTAAAGAAATGATATGAGAACAATGAATCTTCCAAGTAGCAGTTAAAAGTTCTGGTAAAAAGAAAGCTACTGTTGCTGGTTGTAATGCTGTGTTGGACATTAGTGGTCTCCTATTAAAACGATCAAAGGCTAATATTAAACCAGGCATGCAGTCACTGCTTACATTACATGTGATGGGGGGACACAGTCCCATTATTATTGATAGTAATAAAAATATTAAAATCAGAAATTACTACAAGGAAAAAGAGTTAACTGAATACTTTCTCTGGTGGGAGTGTGCACAAGAAAAGGAAACAATGTTTCTTAAGTGCCAGCTGCGTGCTTGGTTCTTTATATACATTGTGTATGAGGAAGGATAGGTCTAATTATTATGCTGTGGGGAAAGTACTCTCAAGCTGATCCGATGGGAGGGGACTCTCATTTACAGAGCTGGGTCACAATGCAGGGCGCTCAGACCAAGCACTAGTTTCCATCAGACATCAAGGTTCTCTTTCCTCCCACAACTGACACACCTTCGACCCATCCTTTGCTTTCATTTCTGTTTTTCACATTAATCTTCAGTACAGGGCATCTTTTACCTTCAGCTACTGCTACCACAAGTACCCCCTACTTTATTCCTTATCTTCCTATATAAACAGCTGATTGTGTCACCTTCCTGTTTAGCCTCTGCTAACTTCCTGTAAAATATCATCCAGCTCCTTAGCCTGTTTTGGAGCTTTCAGAGCTGGGCCCCAAATTCTCGGGCAGCTCAGATTCACCGGCTTTGTTTCCTCGCTGTGCCTCACTGGCACATTGCTGACTGCCATTGCTGACTGAAAGACCTGATAGTGGGCTCTGGGTTTGTCTCACTGCTCCTGGGAAGGCTTTCAAGTTTTCATCGATAGGTGTGGTGTTGGTTGGAAGAGCACTCGGGACAACCTGTATCAGATGAAGGAAGTTCCTCCTGTAGTTGCCAAACCTTTCTTGGAGTGTAAAGAGTGGATGCTTGATTGATACAACCTTTTTCTGCATCTATTGTGCATGCACCATAATTTTTCTCTTTCAATCAAGCGTTAATTTTCTACTGCTAAATTAACTTTATATTCTCTGCATATTATCCTTTGATATAAACATCCTTTAATATAAACATCCTTTAATATAAATATCCATATGTATATGGATATGTATTTGGATTCAATTAGCACTTTGTTTAGAACCTGGCTTTACAATTGGAGCAATGGTCCAATTGTTTTTTTTTCAGAGGTGACTGAATGCACACTGATTGTTAGGCCCAAGTTTGTTTTCTACTTCTGTCTGGCGTTGGGGCCTGTGCGTGGATGACAAGCACTTGGGGTGGAGCACATGTGCAGAACTCTGTGTTCCTGTAGGAAAATGGGAATTTTGGAATTGAAGTCTTTCACATTCAGTTCAAAAAATCGAAACAGATCTTATAATACAGAATTTTAACATCAGTTGCATAAAAGCCCACATGTAATTTAAAATGTTTAGTTAGCGAGTTCACCTTACATAAAAAAAAAAAAATCATACAAAAACAAGACCCATAAAGTCCCCAAAATGCCTCTTCGGAAAGTTTTTCTACATCAAGTCCATATATGACACTTTTTCTGTGACTTTGATTAGGCCAAGATTGATGAGGGTGTTCTTCTCCAGTTCCAGGTAACTCTCATAGTCTGATTTTAATTCAGCCTCCATTTGTTCTTTGGATTTCTGGTACGCTTTCTAGGGGGAAAGAAGCAAGACATGGATATCAAATGCTGATGGCTGGCAACACCAGGGGATGAACAGGGCTGTTTCTGAACAGCTGACAGCTGCTGCTCTCTTCAGGGGTACGGGGAGGGCAGGCAGCCATCCACGATCTGGGGAGACATGGAGGAGACATGGCTTTCAAACACCTCCTCCCAACACCCAAATCCCTTGCCTTGGCTTCTCATCCAAAGCTCTTGCCTCCCTATGCCATCTGGAGCAGGGGGGCAATTGACGCCAGGTTGTAGAATTCTTTTGAAGTCTGTTTCTCCTCAGTCTTACTGAGATAGCATAGCTTGTGGGCCCCATGACAGCTATTTGTTCCCAGTGTTGAGTGTCCAGGTAAAATTTCAGCTAGAGAAATTCCCATCTCTTGTTCTGTGAGAGCAATCACTGCTATTATCCTTTAAGAAGTGAGCTGCACACAGACTTGATGCTTCCCCAATCAAGATTAATCAGAATGCACTAATATGCACCGGGTAGGCATTCATGAAGATCATCTGGCCAGATAGATGTGTGACTGTCCCCTTCTCTCTGTAGTCATATTCAGGGGTGCCAGCACTGTGGCCGTATTCAGTGTTCACTTGTGACACCTGCATCCCATATTGGAGTGCTGGCTCAAGTACTGGCTGCTCTGCTTCCCATCTAGCTCCTACTGACTGCACCTGGAAAGACACCTGAAGATGGTGCAAGCATGTGTGACCCACAGCTGAGACCCAGATGAAGCTCCTGATTTCAGCCTGGCCCGGCCCTGGCAGTTTTAGCTTCCCAAGGAGTTCGCCAGAGGATGGAAGATCTCTATCTGTGATGTTTCCCTCTGTCACTCTGCCTTTCAAAGGAACAAATAGATAAGTGAATAAATCTTTAAAAATCTGAAGAACAAACACTAGCGCTTTATATGCCCATTATTGGCAAAGTGTTGTAAGTATACTGTCCCACTTAATCCCCATGCAGTCTTCTGAAATCAACTATTGTTCCTGTTTCCCATTCGATCAGCAGTTGTGGGTAAGAAGGTTTTCTGACTAACGTCAGTTGGATTTCCTTAGTGAGCTTTTTCCCCTCTATGCTGTAAATGTAACAAAGGAACCCTTTTTTTTTTACATTTATTCACTCATTCATGATCCAGATCCAGAGAAAGTTGGAGACTTAAAAGAGATACTACAAACAAATGGAATGATATTACAAGAGCTGGAAGTTTTGGAAACCAGAAATAATGATATAATTTTGATATGATTATCCTATTCAAGTGTTTTAAAAAATTTAATTTTTGGGCCTGGCGCGGTGGCGCAAGTGGTTAAGGTCCTCGCCTTGCACGCCCGGGATCCCATATGGGCGCCAGTTCTATCCCGGCAGCCCCGCTTCCCTTCCAGCTCCCTGCCTGTGACCCGGGAAAGCAGTCGAGGACGGCCCAAGGCTTTGGGACCCTGCACCCGCGTGGGAGACCCGGAGGAGGCTCCTGGCTTCGGATCGGCATAGCATCGGCCCGTTGCGCTCACTTGGGGAGTGAATCATCGGACGGAAGATCTTCCTCTCTGTCTCTCCTCTCTGTATATCCGCCTTTCCAATAATAAAAATAAATCTTTAAAAAAATAATAAAAAATTTATTTTTTATTTAAAAGACAGTCTCTCTCTCTCACATACACACACACACACAGACAGCAGGAGACAGAGAAAGAGAGCCATTTTCTGTTGCCTTCCCACGTGCATTGGCAGGCAGCTGGATGGGGAACCAAATAGCCAGGACATGAACTGGCATTTCCACCTGGGTGTTCCCAAGGTGCTGTGTCACTTCACCTGCTGTGTCACATTGTCTGCCTCTCAAGTGGCTTACAATGATTCTGCATGGAAATTATTTTTGAATTATCCACAATTCTACTTGTTCTTACTGATGTATGTAATTAGGAGCTATTGCTATGGTATTCAAGGATGTTTAATAATGATGGATAACTGCTGAGTGAGGGAAGGGTGGTAGATTATTTTCCATAATAGAACCCCAATCAACACTTGTAAGCAAGAAAAGAACAAAGCTAAGACCAAATTGTTTACAGTGGTATAACACAGTGAAAAGTTAATTAATTTGTACTTTTTAATACATTGTTATCAGTAAACAATATATTTCAAATGAGGCCTTCTTATTGCACTAATTAGTACCTATCCAAAGTGATTATGTTAATTGACTGCTAATGCAGGCATGAAGATGGACTGACATTGTTTGTACCACCAATGTCGGGGAACACTGAAATAACAGACTGATGGAAATATAATTCCTTATGAAGGACTATACTATTGTAACAATATGGGGAAAATCATTTGGTGGGTAGGAATTTGGTGAGAGGATGAATCCCAGACTCTACGGAATTGTATCATAAAACTCAAAATTAAAAATAAAATTTTAAAAAATGGGGCCTAGCACAGTAGCCTAGTGGCTAAAGTCCTTGTCTTGCATGTGGCAGGATCCCATATGGGCACCAGTTCTAATCCTGGATGCCTGGCTTCCCAACCAGTTCCCTGCTCGCAGCATGAGAAAGCAACCGAGGATGGCCCAAAGTCTTGGGACCCTGCACTGGTGTGGGAGACCCAGAAGAGGCTCCTGGCTCCTAGCTTTAGATTGGCTCAGCACTGTCCATTGTGGTTGCTTGAGGAGTGAATCAGTGGACGGAAGATCTTCCCCTCTGTCTCTCCTCTCTGTATATTTGACTTCCAAAAATAATAATAATAATAAAATTTTTAAAAAGTAAAAAAAGAATAAAACCAAAAAAAGAAAATATTTCTATATGCTGCTACTTATTAATGGAGACCTGAAATTGGGGGAGGCTATGTATTTAACTAAAAGGAAACTACAGATGGGATCAATGATGAATTGCTGGCAGTAAAAAGGGAGAACAGAAAAGCACAGATGTAGGCTGGATGGACCTCGAGTCACAGGAGAGAAGGGCTGACTTCACAGAATGTTTAAATGCTCCCAATTTGCAGGCAACGGAAAGAGTCATAGAGCCTGCGTGAGACAGAGAGCCAGAGGGAGAGGACAGTGGAGTTTCAGGTTCGTTTTTGATAGAGTTTCAGTGGATGTCTCCTGTGCCAATACTTCTATTTCAAGTTTCATACCTACAGTATATTACAGTAAGATTCATCTCTCTCTTATTCTTAGATTTTATCTATCCATTCACTATTGTGGCCAGAAAAGCTGTCCTTCAGGGTAAGCCTGTTGCTGGTCAGCTGCCTTCCCAGGAGGCCTGGCAGTGATCCTCACAGGTCATTATCAACATTCCTATTTTAAAGACAAGAGAACTGAGACTCAGCGAAGATGAGACCCTCGTCCTGCGTCGCAGAGCCAGTAAGTGGCAGCATTGGGATTTGGACACCCATGTCTTGATTCCTATAGTCTGACTTTTTGCACTGCTTGCTTTAATTCAGCAGATATTAAACTTCCATGAAGTGGAAGCATTCACATTTTATATCTACTCATATATACTGTGACGTGATAGATCATGTTAGCAATTTAAATCGTAGAGGGTTTTACTGAGTGTAGTCCCCACTCATAGTGGGCCTGGAACTCAGACAAGTGTCCTGTCCTCTTGACTCACAGCAGAACCAGAGAGGAATGTGAAAAGGCACTGCATTTCCTAGAGCAGCTATGGAAACTGCCAACCAAACACATCCCCACTAGAATTAGAAGAAAGCAACTTCGATTTCTGAAATGTAACTTACAACTTTCTTCTTTTCCTTTTCTAGCTCCATTTCCTTCTTTTCTTGTTCACGAATACTTCGGCGCTGTTCTACGTATTCTAGGTGCCTGACTTCTCTTTCAAAGTAGTGGTTGACACTTGATGCCTGTGGCAAACGAAAGCGAGTGAGAGGTTAGGGAGTCCCCTTGTTCTTGACCATGCTAGTAGGGTTCCTACTGCTTGTCGTCAGGTGGATTCCCTGGCTAGCCAACCTGACCATTCATTTGTTCATCCTCTGCAACATCATTAGGTGGGTTACTTCTGAGCTATTTCTAATTCTCTGAATGAAGCTATTTGTGAACTGTCCTCATGAGTCCATTCCTCTAAGAGAAGCTAGCTCAAATTTGGTGACTGCCTTCCTAAAAATTAGGTCCCTGCAACTTGGAGATCACTAGCAGCATTACAAAAGATGGTTTCTGAGATAGGTGTAGTGACCAATGGTTTGGACTGGCACTTGGGACACCCACTTCCCACGTTGGTAGTGCCTGGTGTGACCCCCAGTTACTCCACACTTCCTGCTAGTGTGCCTGGTGAGCAGCAGATGATGTCCTGAATGCCTGGGTTCCTGCCACCCAGTGGGAGGATGTGAATGGAGTCTTTCTTGGCTTCAGTTTGATCTACCTCTGTTGGGAGCATTTAGAGACTCAGCTGGTGGAAGGAAGACCTCTCTTTCTCTTTCCTTCTCTCTCTGTCACTTTGCCTTTCAAGGAAATAAACAAATCTTTGGAAAACAAAAGAGGGTTGAAAAAAATCCAAAATTGGGGAGATACGTTTTTAATTTTCCTCTTTCTCACTTCCAAAGTAAGGGGAAGCTTTATTATCATCAACCAAAATTGGAAAACCCAGATGAGTTATCAATGTAGATTCTAAAGGGACCGGAGGCAGAGCTGAGGTCCTGGTCCCTGGGGGCTTAGTGTGGAGGCATAGGAATGGAAGCAGGCAAAGCAGCAGAGGCCTTTGGGAAGGCCAGCAGAGGAGGAAGCCTCATTGTTTTGACAGTAAGCAGGCTGACACCGTTGGGATTCAGGTCACAATCTCTAGGTTGAATGTTGGCTCTATGTATATATATTTACTGATCTTTTTATAACCTCATTGTTAACACTGCTTGAAGCATTTGGGTGGTGGGTATAAGAGGTTAGTATGATATATTGTCAGTTCAGATGTGCCACCCTCAATTTACTGAGTTGGGAAAAGATTAGGTGGAAGTAGGGGAGGAAGAGCTGCATAAAAAGGCCACTGGCCCCCCAGGGAAGGGCACCACTGGGATAAAGGCCCCTGCAACCTGAAAATAGCATCATGATTATGAATCCTCAAATCAGTTCATCTGTCAGAAAAACTCTTTCTCACTTCAAACTGTAATACATGCAATGGAGACAGATCCTCTTGTTTTTGACCATATATGTCTTTTGTACTCTTCTAGAAAAAGGATGTCTTGATAACATATTTAGACAAGACTCACCAAGAGCCGACCAAAGATATCCTCAAAGTTACCAACCTCATTGGCAGAAGGGTGACTTAATGTCCAAGGAATTTCTAATATATGCAGTGTTCCATAATAATCAGCTATGGCTATAAATTGCTGCTTAGCTGAAAAAAAAAAAAACAGGGAGGAAAAATGCAGCAAACAGAAATCCATCTTAAGAAGTTAAATATGAAATGTGTTTTTGTTTTGTGGTCTCCCAAAGGACCTGCTGTGGTTACAATGATATTGGCATCTATTTCAGATATTCATGACTGGATCACATAAACATACAAAACTCGTTTTTTCCAGTTGATGAAAGCAAAGCTAAGACTCTGAACCTTTGTCAGCTACCCTTCTACCTCCACTCTTGATTTCTTCTTGTGTATATAAGGAGTGTGGCACCTTGCTGACCCTATTGTTTCTGGGCCACTGGGTAGAAATAAGAAGAAAGAAGGGGAGAGGGGTTGTGGGGGGAAGGTGTGGTGGTGTATCAGGTAAAGCTGCTGCCTGCAGCACCTGGCATCCTTATCTGGGCACTGGTTCAAGTTTCAGCTGCTCCACTTTCCATCTAGCTCCTTGTTAATGTGCCTGGGAAAGCAGCAGATGACCCAAGTGCTTGGATTCTTGCTACCCTCATGAGGGTGAAGCTTCTGACTTCTGGCTTCAGCCTGGCCCAGCCCTAACTGTTGTTGCCATTTGGGGAGTGAACCAGCAGATAGAAAATCTCTCTGTTTCTTCTCTCTCTTCCTGTCTTTATAAATCTGAGTTTGAAATAAAATAAAAAGAAGAAAGCAGGGAGAACACATGAAGAGATTCTTCAAGAAAATTCATGAAGCATGTTTTTAACCAAACACAGCAAAGGCTGAAGGATATCATATCCAGATGAATTTCAAAGACACATCCTGAACCAGTTTTCCTGCTTACGAAGACAGATTACTCCCTGGAACTTTTTGGATGGGTATAATGCACAAAACGTTTGTCTCACATGTTGTTGTTCTCAGAAGATCTAGGTTTATGTTGCTGAATTATGAACTCCTCATCCTGGTAAGCACTCTCTTTCAAAAGCAGTGTTTGTACTGAAGATGGGAAAGCACAGCTGGTGGTGTGTGTGGTTAAGCAGCAGCCAGCCTGTGACTCCCTGGAGATGGCAAAGACCTAGTTCCAGAGGCTACTGTTTGAGACAATTTCATAGGACTATTACATGTCTGTGCCCTTCTAGAAACAAAAAGAAACCTTTCTTCTTCTAAATAAAAAGGCAAATACACCAGATTTACACAGAAAATTCTACTTGAGTGAAACAAAAATTTGGAAATAAATTATTTTTCATAGATACATCCTTAAATTTATGTTTGCTTTTATGCTTGCTCTGTTGTACATTACTTTTCTTCATAATAAATTCAAAATTTAAACTTTTAATACATATAACCCTGATGAGTCATTAGATTTCATGATGACAATTGCTTGGCTTTGTTCCTAAGAGAAATGCAAAAATGTTATAATATTGAAAATGTGACTTAGGGTAAAAAGTTAAGAAAAAAACCACACTAGAAAAGAAGCAACAAAAATTAGCAATGATGTAAGGATGTGTGATTCAGAGAATACTTTCTGTCGTGTGGTTCAAAATCAGCATCTGGAGTCAGCATTTAGCCTGATGATGGAATGTCTACATCCCCTACTGGAGTAAGAGTTTGCAGCTCAGCTGCAGCTCCTGACCCCAACTACCTTCTAATGCAGTCCTTGGGAGGAAGCAGTGTTCGGTCTCTGCCACCTATGGTGGGGGAGAAGGGTGGGTCTGAACTGAGTTCTTGGATCCTGGCCCTAGCCCAGCCCTAGTCTGATAATTGGATGTATGTGGAGAGAGATGGCAGATGAGAGAAGATGGCAGATGGGAGCACTCTATTTCTCTTTGTCTTTTGAAAATGTTATTAAAAATTTAAAATAATCAGCTTTTGCCTGACCTACTGAGTGTGTCTTAAAAATCATTGTTGATGAGGAAGAAAAGCGAGGAAGCCCTGTTTATATTTGAGCAAGAGGGAAGGGAAATGGAGAAGGGGAGATGAGCAGGGAAAAAGTAAGGGTCAGAAAGAGAGGGAAGGAAGAAGAGATAAAAACCTGAGGCTTTCCAGGTCAATGTCCAAATGTTCCAAGTTACCCAAAAAGACTTAGCTTAGGAGGTCAGAATTCACATACCAGGGGGTCCGGGCCTTGGGGCTGGGGGCAGATTGCAGCTCCCTGCAGTGTGGCAGCTATGGGGCCTGCCCCTGCCAGGCAGGATCCAATGCTAGGGACTCAGTGCACCAAGTGGTGCCAGGCTTTGTCTGCTGGCCACTCCATGGCGAGCATTGGGGTTTTTAGGATATGAAATTGCTGCTTAGGAACACCCAGGAATAAGGCCAGTTTTAGTGTAACTGAGAGATGAATTCTGGGTGATTCCCAGTAACAGGGTCATGAAACTTGGGCAAGCGTGGGGACTGAGACCTGATGGTTAGGAGGGGAGAGTCCACAAGATCTATTTGGGCCAAACTGACTCAACAACCAAAATAGGAATCCTGAGATAGGCTATTAGCATAGAGCATCACTGACTGCCACATGCCAGTCCACACAAAAGCTATGGCTGGGAGCCTGTCTGGCAGGGCTAGGTACCTTTACTTGACTGGGTGGTGGAATAGTGGACTGGTCACATTTGGCAGGGTCAAGACACACTAACCAGTATGCGAGAGAACTTGGTCCAAGGGTAGTGTGGGCCCAACCCTGTAGAAATACAAGTCCCGCAGGTTAGCTGGCAAGTTGGGATGGTGATGGGCTAAACTAGGAGCGACCATGGCACCTGCCATCACTTATGGGTAAAGGAACCAATGGCAATCTGGGCAGGTCAAGGCAGCACCATCCGAAGGTTCATCCTAAAATAGGATCTGTGGTGGGCCAGGCTGCAACTGGTAGGAGGCGGATCGGGCAGGGCCAAGCAAACTTCAACTCACAAAAAAAAAAAAAGAAAAAGAAAAAAGAAAAAAAAAAAAGAAATCAGGATGTAGCACATGCCATTCCGACCTAGGCTCTTACCCCCAACTGGTCTTCATGAGGCAAGGATACTACAGCACAGCATTGAAGGCAAAGGCTGAGACAAGTGAGGGGCTAAGCCAACTGGGTCAGAGCACACACTGGCACATGTGCAACCTATAGCTGGGAATAGACTCGGTTGGGGAGCTGTGAGAGTACACCCTTGCTGGGTTGGGTTTCCCACGGGAGGGTGTGGGGGCGGGAATGGGGCCTGCGTTCAGGTCTGGATATGTCTGCAATCTCCCTAGGCACAAATGAGGACTAGGGCTGGGCGCACCAAGCTGAGCTAGACGGCAAAACTATCTGGTGCTCTGGAGAACCTGGGTAGATGTAGGATGGACTAGGCTGGGTCTGCCCCTACTGAGCCATGTGTGAGCAGTGTCTGGGTATGATCAAGCCTTGGCTGGGGTGAAACAGCCAACACCAAGAACTGGAATGGATTGAAGGCCAGCAAGGAGGGCTGGCCCATGGAACCACCAGTATGTGCAAGACCTGGCATAGGAAGAGGTTCTGAAGGAGGAGCTTGGGAAACTCCTCTGTCGGAACACAGCCCCTACTGGTGAGCGCAAGAACCACAATATGGAGCAACCCAGAGGCTTTCCAGGTCAATGTCCAAATGTTCCAAGTTACCCAAAAAGACTTAGCTTAGGAGGTCAGAATTCACATACCAGGGGGTCTGGGTCTTGGGGCTGGGGGCAGATTGCAGCTCCCTGCAGTGTGGCATCATACATACGGCATTGGTGAGGGGCAGATCAGGCTGAACCGGTTCACATCAACAGCTGGTGAATCCGAGCATCAGCATGGAGTGTGGGTCAGGCCAAGTTTGGTTGCAACACATACCAGTGCACGTTAAGGAATGCCAAGGTGAGGTGAGCTGTACCAGATGAGGTTGCAGCGCCCAAACAGCACACATGAGAACTGGGGTGTGCAAGGGAGGAGGCAAAGCCAGCAGGGGAATGTGGGCTCCCCAGGCTACCCTGCTGGACTGCCACTCCCACTGGAGAGCATGAGTTGGGATGGGGGCAGACCAGACCAGGCAGGGCTACAATACTTGTGGGCCTCATGTGAGCCAGATTGGGGAAGGGCCAGATTGGGCTGTTTCAACTGGTGCAAGCATAAATTAGAGTGGATAAAGGTTAGCTGGGCTTTGCCACATCATCAGATGGCACAGGCTGGCACTGGGGGCTAATTCTGTTGAGTTAAATGCCAGAACCACCGGGATAGCACACAATCTGGAAGTTGGAGTGGCCTAGTAGGGAGATAGTGGGCACCTCCCTTGTGGGTAACCACTTCCTCTGGAAAGCACGAAAACTAATACAGAGGCAGGGGTGGCTAGATAGAAAGACACCTGGCAGTAAGTGTGTGGGCTGGATAGTAGGTTGCTTAGGTTGAACTAGACTTCAATGTCCATTGGCAAGTATGAAAGCTAAATGGGATGTGGGACAGACTGAACAAGCCTGCTGTAACACTGATATGCATGGGAACCAGGGTAGGGGTAAGGAATAGTGGGGGTTATGGGGAGTCGCCCCAACTAGGCTGCAGCTCCACTGGTTTGCGTGAGGGCCGAATATGAAGTGGGCAGGATCGGGCTGCACTACAACACCCATTGGTTAAAATGAAAGACAGGGCTGGAAACAGAACTGACCCAGCAATTGCAACCACCAGCAGGTACACAAGCTGACTGGGGCGACAGACTGTGCCAGACCCTGTACTGGCAAACTCGCACAAGAATCAGGTTTGAGATCATCTCAGATGAAGTTTCTTTGGGGATTCCTTCAACTGAACTGTTGATCTCAGAACCCCCATCATGAAGAGACTATGTCAGCCAGTGGATTCTGAATAAGTTTCATCACAATTGGAACGGCGAGATTGGCAGCAACTCAGACCTGTTGAACTATCAAAACTGCTTGAGCAGGACCCACAGAGCATGCCTCACATCGGGGACCTGCGATGGGTGGGAGGCTGGATGGGGCTTTTCCTTTGTTTCTCCTCTGACCCCAGATATAGGGAAAATAATGATATTAGTGTGGGAACAATGGTATTACCCACTTTCCTGTAGCCCTTGACCATTTGTGCCTTAATCAACTAAGTAAGATTATTTTTTAAAAAATAAATTAAAAAAAAAAATCACATACCAGAAAAGGTCCAGGGTTTGATGTAGGTGATCATTGTTATGCAAATGTTTTGCGACAAGGCTGGTTCATGTGTCTTCTCCAGAAGGTCCCAGATATCAATGTATCCGTCCTCTCGACCAATATAGAAAACTCCAGGTCTTGTCAGGGACCAGTGTCCTGAGGTGTACCTTTTTGGTGCACAGCATGACTGAAGGAGGGGCCCAGTCTTCAGGAACATTTTTAGAAACATAATAGTTTCTGTCATTATCTGAGAGCAATTCACCATGATTTTACGTATGCAGAACTCAGCTGACTATAAGCAGACAGCAAAATTATGCCCACAGGGATTCTAATTTCTGTTATGGGGCTTTATCTTTTTTTTTTCACCCACAAACCATATTTCCCCCTTTTACTTGCTTTTTTAAAGAAATGATCAAACCTGAAGCCAGCACTGTGACTCATTGGGTTGGGCTACTGTTGGCAACATGAACATTTCATATGGGCTCCAGTTTGAATCTTGGCTGCTCTACTTTTGATTCCAACTCCTTGGTAATGCACCTGGAAAAGCAGCAGCAGATGGCCCAAGTGCGTGCACTGCTGTACCCACATGAGACATACAACAAATGGAGTTCTAGGCTTCTGGCTTCAGCCAAGCCCAGCCCTGACCATCATGGCCATTTGGGGAGTGAACCGTTGAATTGAAGAACTTCATTTTTCCCTCTCTCTGCAACTCCACTATTCAAATAAATATTTTTTTAAATCAAATCTTTTAATTGAGTGACTGGTCATTCTAAAACTTGAGCTGCTTTGAAATTCCATCACCATTTCTGTGCATGTTGCTGGGCTCTAGCTAAATGAAGATTATAAAGACATTTTGATTGTATTCTTGTTAGGTTTATGCTTCAGGTGGAAACAGCGTTGGTGGTTGGCAAAAGCAAATAAAAAAATCTGTTAACTCCAGCTGTAAGTTGCATGCTAAAATCCAACACAGTGCTGACAAATTCTCCTTAAATAACTTTTGTTGGGAGCTTTGAAGCTCCAATACATTTGGGAGAGATTTTAAATCATTGAAGCATCATGTCTTTCACAAACAATCGGCCTGCTTTGGAAAGTTTTCACACTGAAAGATGATCAGACAATGTCCTGTCGACCCAGCCAGTCTCCTTGCAAGCAGGTGCATTCAACTGCCTACTTGCACAACAGGAACAAAACAAACTAGAGAGCCATCACTTCCATTCAATACCTAAATGAGAAACTGTCTTGAGGGAGAAGTAGTTCATGAACTCCTTACAGATGACACTTCCTTGCCACTTCCCCTGATTTCTTCTAGTTTCTACAGATAATCAGATTCCTGACCTCTGCATAGTGTTCAGGAATCTTGCATGAACTTTAAAAAATTAATTTTTAAAAACATTTTTAAATGTTAAAATTTGGTTTTTAGACATATTTTAAAACATGTTTAAAAAGGCTGCTGTATTCTATCTAGATATACATAATAGGTATTTAACATATGTAATATATATTTATATATATTTTCTGCATCAGATAATCTCAAATTTCTCACTTAGAGAATCATATTAATTTTCATTCCCATTAAGAATCCAGATTACCCACAAGCTTGCTTGGCTCTGTTTAACACTCCTGCCAGTTTCTGGCAGGTGAGCTTCTGGAACCAGCCCCCTTCCGGTTCTGACCATGTCCTGCTACTGCCTCCCTTGGACTATGTCCTCCTTCTATGCCTCCTTCCCCTCCTGCTTTCATCCACTGGCTCACTTCCTACATGGCTACAATGAGTCAAGCTGAGCTGATCCAAAGCCAGGAGCTTCCTCTGGGTCTCCCATACGGGTGCAAAGTCACAAGGCTTTGATTCATCCTCTGCTGCTTTCCCTGGCCATAGACTGGTGGCTGGACTGGAAGTGGAGCAGCTGAGACATGAACTGGTGCCCATATGGGATCCTGGCACTTGCAGGCAGAGGATTAGCCAGTTGAGCTATGGCGCCAGCCCAGACCCTGTTCTACTCTGAACAGGCTATGAGCTACATGGGATAATTTCTTCAGCTGGCTCACTTCCACTTCTTGAACCTGTGGAAGGATTGCAGTGACCCAAGCAAAAAGATGACAGACTCGGTGTGGCTTTCTACAGGAATCGGATCCCATCGTGTGTTCTGAAGTGAGGGGGAAAAGCCCAAGTTAACCTCACAGAGTAAACCTTTTCAAGGAAAGATGGCTTGCCTGCCCAGAAAAAGGGACTTGCAAACGGTGTTTCCTCCCCTCCGGACAAAAAAGCAAATGCTTACGATTTCAAAAGGCATACAATGCTTCTGCTGCTATGCCACCTGTTTTCAATTTCCCTAAAAGCATCCCACAGGCACGGATACATCAGAACAGCTGTGATGCTCCTATTGTCTTCCTCAGGAACAAAGGACCACACACTCACCACCCCCTCAACCCACTTCCCCTTCCGCAGGCAACTCACCATGATACCTTCCTTCCAGATGGCCACGTTCCATCCGCCAATGGTGAGGATAATGTCATTGTAGAAAGGTGACCTCTGCACAGTGTGGACGGCGCCGTCGTGGACCGTGTACAGGCTCACTGGCTTCTTTGCTGGGGGAGAGGAAAGGGTGTTTTGCCCTCGCTCACACAGATCTCGGTCGTACTGTCCCATCCCTAATGCTCAGATGCCAAAGCAGAGAAGAAGAGGCTGACCAGGCTGAATTACTCTGTCATGTGCTGCCTCTTCTTTATACAGAAAGTCCAGGGAACTTCCCATCCAGGCCACTGCTCTGGCTCACAGGAAAGCTTCCTGTTCCCATCCCTTAATTCCTTACACTAGTAATACATATCTGGATTGCCAATATGCACCACATGTATCGGGTGACTGAGGAGGCAATTACTAACCAAACATGTTACTGTCCCAGTGAAGTGCACAGTCATGACAGAGTCCCAGAAACAATTACACCATTGTGAGAGTGTTGTGAACGGGAAACTGGTGTGCATATACCTAACAAGAGACACTGGAAGCTAGACTAAAAAGCAGAAACAGCTCCTCTGAAGACAAGGACTCTGCGTGGGTGCCTCTCCCTCAAGGCTGCAGAGCTGGGCACTCTTCACTACTGGTTACTCACGGCCATTCACCCCATTAGTGGCCACAACAGCTGCTTGTTGATGCCAAATCACAAGGGCCAGTGGCTTGACACTAAGACCATGAGTTTACTCTGCATTACATCATGTCAGCTATGTGAGGACTGAATTTCCCTATGCCTCCCCAGTCAGAACTCTGATGGGACAGGAAGCAGAGAGAGACCCAAAAGATCTTGTGGGAAGCTTATAAAATAGAGTTTCAAACAGACACTTTGTCTGTGCACATCCACAGCAGCACTCTTCATAATAGCTCACACAGGAAAGCAACCCAAAGGTGCATCGATGGGTGAATGGATAAGCAAGATATGAGTGACACAGACATAACAATGGACTGTTATTCCACTTAAACAGCAAAGCACGTTCTGATACATACTACGGGCTAGGATTTCATCTCTGTTAGGTACCTGGGTAGTCAAAACCAGAGAGACAGAAAGGAGAACGGTGGATGGCAGAGGCTTGGAGAACGGGGCATGGGACGTTATCATGTAAGGGGTGTGAGATTAAACTCTGAAGACTGGCTGCACAGCAATGTGACAGTATACAAGATGACTGAATTATACACCTGAACATGGTTTAGGATGCTGAATGTTATCACTTATGTTATTCTACCACACTTGAAAATTATTTGGCAAAAAGGGTTCTTTTTTTTTTTTGAAAGCTTATCCAATTGCTTTTATTTTTAGTAGAAGGGAAAGTTACATTAAAAACTGCTACAAACATTTAATGGAGCATTTCACTACATGACACTTATAAAACAAAAGTAGAAAAATCTCCAGTTAGCATATTAAATCACCTGCAAGCATTTTATCTGTAGAAGAACTACTTGGTCTATAAAATTAGCATCATTTCTATCCAGGATAATAAATTCTACCATAGTTCCTTAGCGGCTTTCTCCATCTCCTTTTTATTTTCCTTTTCTAACAAGATTAAAGAAACACATGCAGATGAGTACACAGAGCAACTTGACACACAAGCATGAATTTCATTTTAAAAAGCCAAGTGATAAATAAGAAGGGTGGTAGAATCCATTCCATTTCCATTAGTTCTATTATCAGGCCTTCATCAGAGCCACTGGCAAAAAGGGTCCTAAAGCGAAGATTTTAAATGTAGCCATGCCAAGGTTTTTGTTTTTAGAGATTCATCTCCCATTAACACCAAGTCCCCGTTTTGAAGAGAGAGCAAGGGGCGTGCTTGTCAGGCCATCTTGAGGTGATCTTGAGGATTCCTGGTAACAGGCAGGATCCCTGGATGCCAACCATGCTCTTCCTGCTTCTGCTTCTGTTTCTCAGAGCCTGGTGCCCATCTGTGGGATTAGTAAGACTTCCCTAGCCACCGCCCCCAGCAGCCAGCAGGGCTGTCCAGGCATCTGGAAGGCCTCTGGGAGTGGCCATGGTTACTAGTGACTGCAACATGCATAATCCTCAGATGTGTGGAAGCAACATCGCCTGGGTGTGTGCTTTAAATTGGCAGAGAATGTTCTCGACTCATCAAAGTCTTTTTTTCCTTTTTTTCTTTGTAAGTCTTGAGTGCCATTCATTAATGAGTGGAGCAGCCCTTATTAAGTGCAGTGCCAAAGCCTCTGGGCCAGAGTACTAAAGAGAATGACAACCAACAAACACAGACACAAAAAAATAGTTTCCAGAGTAATTCTCTAACATGGGAGTTAACTGAGTAAGGGATCAGAAGTGCAAAACCTTGTGACTGATTGTCTGGGTACCAGTTTTGCTGGTGAGGCCATCCAATCACTTGTGGGAGGATTATCTGAGCTAGTTTATAAAATTTGAAGAGTTCCTGGCACGTGACATACTGATTTGGTGGTTTAGAGTACATTTCATGACACGACTGTTCCAACTGTCATCATGCAGGCTGTCATTTCTTGGCTTGCCCTTCACACCACGTGCATCTTACTCACACACATCTCAGGGTAATGCGTCTGTCAGAAGTTTCTTCCCATAAGAGCACATTCTCCTTCCTGCCTGGTTGTATATTTAAGACATGTACGTGGGGTTCCATGGAGACCACATCTCAGTGACCGGCTCTTGGGAAACCACCCTGATGTTTACAACAGATACTGTGCTGGAGGCACGCAGTGAAAGCCCTGTACGTGCATGGAATGGAAGCAGGATGCACAGTTTACAGTTCAGGAGGAACTGCATGGCAACTTCTCCGCACCTAAGCTGTATTCAATGAAAAACAATGCTGTTACAAAGTTCTTGACTGTTGATTTAAAGTATTATCATAACCAGTGGTAAAGCAATTTTCATTTTTTTTCCCGAATGGACTAAATTGAAATCAACTCCTCTTCTTCTGGACTAGCTACATTCCACTGGATGTATGTCCTGGTATGTTGACCCTTAAGTCTCCCTTCTCTTTTACATTTCTGTTGCCAAACTTGTGCTGCAGTCTTCGCTGCCTCTCATCCCAACAGTGGCAAGAGGTACCCCTCTTCCATTGTGAGTTCTACCAGCTCCAGCCCTTCTGCCACGGTGGTTTCATTACCATGCAACGCTATGAGGAGGACCCACAAGGCTTTTTCCATCTGGATACAAATGGGTTCCCAATTACCTGCCTTGATGCCCTGGTGATTAAATTTCCCTCTTTCTCATGTGTTCATTGTTCCTTTGTGCTTCCAAGTTTTCACATTTATCATCTGCAATATCTTTACCCATCTTTTTCATCTGGAAAATTTGAGTCTACTCTTTTTTTAAAAAAATTTTGTTTTATGACACAGTTTCATAGACTCTGGGATTTCCCCAACCTCTCCCCATGCTCTTCCCCCATATTGGATTCCTCCACATTGTTGCAGTAGTACGGTTCAAATCCAGTCATGATTCCTTCATTGCAAGCAAAGATTAGTTACTCCTCACTAAGGTATTGAAGATTTCTCGGCACACCCCTCCTAAAACTGTTCTGCACCTCAATTGTTAACATATGCCTTGTTAGAGTTATAAGCCGGTTTGGACTATCCTAAAATTCGCCAAGCTCAGTAAAAATTATGCTTCAACACTATAAACTGAATCCACTGTTGAAGATCTGTTCAACTGCTTCTCGGGGTGCCTGTCTTTCTACATGTTGGACCTACACACCTTTGTTCCGGTGCTTGGGGTCGAGGACTTGGGGCATCAGGAGACACAAGCACAACAGCTCTCCTAGTTCCAAGACAGGATTCTATTATCACTTCTCCCATATTCTTCTTGGATCTTCAAGATCATCGCAGATTTAGCCCATCATTCCACACTGTGTAGATATTCCTGCGAGATGAACTCCCAAGGCTGTTGAATTCTTGAAATGGCATGTTACTTTTTAAATTAAATTGTCCAAGAGTTCTAGCTTTTTTTGTATCACATAGGTCAGTGCTCTTCAAATCTTGATGTGAAAACAAGGCACCTTTTGTTATATTTTATTAAAATCCAATTCAGGTTCTGTGGGCCCAGATTTTTGTGCATGTTTCCAGCAAGCTCCCAAGAAACAACAAAGCTGCCTTCTCGGGGATCTGAGGTTAACAAGCACATATGTGGATTAATCCTAGGAGTCCTGCCATCAGCAAAGCCAGGCTCCCTTGGAATTTCACACAATTCTAGATAACGGCAGAGAGTTTCAATGGAAATGAACACCTTACTGGTAACAGAAAGATTCAACTTACTCATCAATCGGCCAGTTTCAGGGTCTCTTTCCATTTTCCAATCTGTGTATATCACTTCGCCCTCCTGAAAACACAAGTGCTTGTTGAATAGGACAGCTCCAGAGAAAAGCCCTTACCTTCAGATGCTGAGCCTGAAGCACTTGCTTTAAAACAAAAAAGAGCTCAATTTACTTATATGATAATTTGATGCACATGTTGTGGAGAACACAGGCAGCTGAATAGCTACCCTATGTACCTCAGCCTCAGCTTCTGAGTTTTCAAGTCCTCCCCACTCCCTCCTGGGGAGCCAGGAGGGGAGGGAGCAGGACTGATTTACTCCGTCACTTTTTCCTCAGTCTGTCACAAAGTCAGCACTTAGTAAAAACTTGTTGGATAAGAAAGAGGCAATATAAATGCATAATATGATAGCACTCACTGGTTAAAGTTTAATACTGGGAACAAACGAGCCAAAAGTTCCATTCAAAGAAAATACCATGTCACAGATATTCTGGTTTTACCCTTGTGGCCGTTTTAAAGAAAGGGGAAGGCATAGGGACCTGGTTTTAAAGAAGAGGAAGGACAGGCCTGGTGTGATAGGTCAGTGGCTATATCCTTACTTGTGAGCACTGGGGTCTACCTGGTTTGTGTTCCGGCTGCTCCCTCCTTGTGGCCTGGGAAAGCAGTCAAGGATGGAACAAAACATTGGGACCCTGCACCCCTGTGGGAGACCCAGAAAAAAACTCCTGGCTTCAGATAGGTTCAACTCTGGCCATGGTGGCCATCTGGGGAGTGAAATAAGCAGATGGAATATCGTTCTGTTTCTCCTCTCCATAAATGTGATCTGTCTTGAAAGGGGGGTAAATCTTTACAAAAACAAACAAAACATGAAGGAGGAGGAGGAGAAGAAGGAGAAGAAGAACAAAGGGAAGGAGAAGACAGCCACAAGCAGGGGAGAGATGAGACCAGTGAGCTTCAGCCGAGAGGTGTAGACAACAGGTGGTCCCATGCTGCTACGTTACAGATTGGAAGACTGAGCCTCAGAGAAATGAAGTGACTTGCACAAAGCTGCCTGTAGGTTGTCTGCTAATGCTACTGCTTTTTCACCTGGTGGGGAGAAGAGGGTGAACAGAGGAGTGAAGGGGATTCCAGAGAGGGGATGCAGGGAGGTACAAGGCAGCAGGGATAAGAACACATTTGACTTACACAAATTGCGGCTAGTGCCCACTCAGTCCCTCCCCTGTGATGTCATTCATCCAGGTACTTCATTCTATCAGCAAGAAGCTACATTTGCTACTGCTAATTCTGAGTTGGAGGCTGAGGCCTATCCCCACTCCTGGTGGATACTCAGGCTGCGGAAGCATGCAGGTCAGCCCCTGGTACTGGTTTGTGGCTGTGGGGGGCCTATCACTCTCCAAGCTACCATTTAGAGAGCACTCAGTACTTTCCAGAGATCTTAGCAGCTTTAGTTAGGTGGCCCCCAACTGTCACCAAAGTCCCTTGAGATCTCTACATCTCCTGGGTCTCCAAGTTGGCACCTGAGACACTGACATAGAGCCCAGTCAAGCAGGAATCATTTGGGTTAATTTCATGCATAAGGAATGAGTGCCTTTCCCACCACCAATCACCTAACCTGACTGGAAGCCTTGACTGAACCTCCTTCTCCCAACCGGTTACCTGACTGATAACCCCCTTCCCCATCTGGAGCCAACCTTCCTGGCCCACTGCCTAGACTCTTCACTTCTGGTCTAGTCCACCTGAGATCATCACCACCTGGCTTCTCTGGCTTCTGGCCACCGGTCCCTCCCTTCAGCCCATACCGGCTAGACCCCAGCAAGGTCATCCTTATGTCACCAGCTAAAGCAATGGATTGGCTGTGTCAAGGGCTGATAGAAAGGCCTTCCACGGGGATATCAACCCCATGGGAGCCAGCAGTTCTGTCTGGCTTGTTCCTGGCTATTACCCCAGAGTCAAGAACAGTGCTGAATATATCAAGTGCTCAGGGAGGGCTTGATGAATGATGAGTGAAGGGCAAGGGTTTGAGAGGTAAGCCAGAGGTTGTGTAAGAAGAATGAGAGGAAAACCAGAATGGCTCATGTGTCGGGGAAGATGGGGCATGGAGCAGATGGGAGGAGAGGACCAAGAGCCAAACTCTGCAGCATCTGACAGCCTTGAGGGAGAAGTCTGGATTTTACTTGTGTTTGTCTGCAGTTCACTGAAGACACTAGCTGGGTGGTGAGGCCCTATGTTTGTTTGTTTCTGCTTTCCTTCCTTCTTTCTTTCCTTCCTTCCTTCCTTCCTTCCTTCCTTCCTTCCTTCCTTCCTTCCTTCCTTCCTTCCTTTCTTCCTTCCTTCTTGTCATATTCTCTCTTTCCCTCTTTCTCACTCCCTCCCTTCCTCCCCTCCTTTCTTTGTTCCTTCCTCCCCCACCCTTTTATTTTTATTGGAAAGTCAGATTTACAGTGAAAAGGAGAGAGGGAGAGAAAGATCTTCTATCCACTGGTTCACTCCCCAAATGGCTGCAGTGGCCCAAGCTAAGCCCATCTGAAGCTAGGAGCCAGGAGCTTCCTCCAGGCCTCCCATGCGGGTACAGGGTCCCACAGCTTTGGACTATCATTTACTGCATTTCTAGGTCACAACCAGGGAGCTGGATGGAAAGTGCAGCAACCAGGGCACAAACCAGTACCCATTATGAGATTCTGGCACTTGGAGTAGAAGGATTAGCCAATGGGGCCACCATGCCGGCGTTCCCATTTATCTTTCTAAAGTTGATCCACTGGTAGAATCCCCTGTTTCAAAATCTCAGATGTGTGACAAGACAAATGCTTTATGATTCCACTTACAGCAGGCACTCTGAGCAGTCAAATTCATGGGGACAGAAAGGGCACACAGAATGGGGCTTGTGGGGGCTGGGAGGAGGGGGTGAGGCATTCCTGTTTGATGGATACAGAGTTGCAGTCTGGGATGCTGAAGGGTGCTGACCGTGGAAGATGGGGACAGCTGTGTAGCAGGGTGAATGCACTTAGTGTCCCTGTACTGTATATTGAGAAATGCTTAAGGGGGTCACTTCTACATTGTACTTATCATCACAAGCTTTCAAAACTAAAAAAGTGAAAAGTAAATTATAAAGCATTAGCCTGTTTGGCAGGGTCCTGTTGCCTACCAAGTAAAATTCAAAATTCCTAAAAGGATCTCTTATTTTGGACCCCAATCTAGCATCCTAAGCATAAGCTTCCCTCTTGCATTAAACTATGTCCTTTTAAAATTTTTGTTTTATTTATCACAGACGGAGAAGGAGAGAGAGAAGCCACGTGGGAAGTGACCAACAGATGTACAATCTCTCTTTCCCCCACTATATAACTCTTTAAAATAAAGAAAGAAATCTTTAAGAACATTTTAAATACAAATAGGCATAATAAACAAATGGAAAACATTGATAAGCCTTCATACAGCAAATATATACAATATTATGCTCACACATTTCAGTATAACTAAGAATACATTTTAAAAGCAGGCAATTACAACTTACCTCTGTCCCTACAAAGAACTTTGTGCAGAACTCGTCTATTGGCTTCAGATAATTGGACATTCCCACTTCCAGATTATGGTATGGATTCATCTCCCCTGCCTTCACTGCTTTGGTCTGCAATAGCATTTTGTCTTTCAGAAGAGTAAAAACAGAGGAAGCACATATTTGCAGTGAAAGATGTTTTAAAACACAGGCACCTTGTTTATTCTGATATTCTGAATACCGCCATTCCCTTCCCAATGCAGTGGGTTCAAGTTCAAGCATTTTTAGACTTCCCACTTAGCCTGCTCCACCCCTTCCACCAAGGCCTATGTTTTATTAGCTACAATTGCCCTTCTATGGCCAACAGTGCCAGAGCCTGATTTATTGGGCATGTAAGACAAGCATCATCAGTAATTTGTTTCTTTGTAAAAATGTTTGATGTTTGTCTTAAAACCAAAGTTTTATTATGATCTAACATTAACAGTTGTTCCTTACTAAAGTTTCAAAAGACAGAGAATCATGGGTAAAAGAAGAGGCGTACATCATCATGCCCCTGGAGATGGTCATTATTAACATATCAGCTTATTCTCCCCAATGACTTCTCTGTGAATGTTTATATGTAAAGTTACTGAACACATTCTAGTTTAGATTTGCATCCTACTCTCGCATTTTCTTGAGAAAATGTCTTGAGCACCTTCCCAAGTCAAATACCAGTTTCTCAAAAATGTGCTCTTACATCTTCTGGAAAAGATGGTGGTAAAATACATGTTCATTAAATCCTCATCATACCTCCTCAATGTGTCCTCTGCGTTATTCTGGACACAGGACAACCAAACCAAACCAAACCCCATGAAAGCCAGACAATAGATAAAATCTAAAACGGGAAAGAAAAGTCCCAACTATAATATATATATACACATACATTTTATGTTTCCAAAAAGCTTCAGCATAATTTTATCAGAAATGAAAAATGATTATTATGATTCAGTTAGTACAACCAATACTCCCCTTTTCTGGAATCTGCATGTTTTGAGAAGTCTCTTTTCCCACTAGTTAAGACATTAAAGACAGTGTTAAGATAAGCCAAACAACAAGCCAACACCATTGCCTGCCTGGGGTCTGCAGTTAGCAGGGAGCTGGAGTGAGGAGATGGAGCTGGGACGCACACCCAGGCATTCTGATATGGGACATAAGCATCTGAACTGGCATTTTAACTGCTAGGTAGAATGGCTATGCTTGTTTCTCTTTATCTTAAAGATTTACTTATTTTTATTTGCAAGGAAGATTTTCACAGAGAGAAGGAGAGAAGAAAAGTAAGAGAGAGAGAGAGATCTTCCATCTGCTGCTTCACTCCCAGCAGATGGCCACCACAGCTACAGCTGGGCCCATCTGAAGCCAGGAGCTTCTTCTGGGTTTGCCACATGGGTGCAGGGACCAGAGGACCAGGCTATTAGCAGGAAGCTGGATCAGAAGTGGAACAACCAGAGACTAGAACTGGGTCTTACACAGGATGCCAGGGCTACAGGGGCAGAATTAGCCTGCTATGCCACCATGTCAAACTCTTGATTTTCTCTTAAAGCATATGTGTGTGTGTATATATATATATACAATATTATATATGTGTATATATATACTTTTATAAGTAAATATATGTACATCAGGATTTTGTACTCAAAAATTTTCATTGTGGTGGTATAACATCAAAAAGTTGAGAGCCCTCTGGTGTAACAAGGAGAGGCAACAACCTGATCCACAGGTCACAAGTGGAACACAAAGAAGAGGTCCATAGGAGATATACAGTAACAGAAGTCACCGTCATCCTGACAGACTGGGGGTCAGGGCCTATGGACAGGGACAGGGACGACTCAAGTTACGACTTCTGCTCTGGACAATGACATTGAGGGGGCAGATGGGGTTCAAACACAGGAGACGGTAAAACAGGTGGGTAGGGAATTGTCCGCAGAGATTAAAAATGGGAATCATGCAGGTAGATGCTGTTATGAGGACGGTATAGATAGGAAAGCAAAGAAGTTAAAGTTCAAGAGGCATACATGGTTAGAGGGCAGCGTGGGGAAATGAAGCTATGGACACAGAGGAGAAGAACCTGATGGAGTAACAGGTCAGAACTGTCACAAATGCTAATGATGGCATGGACCCCAAGAAAAAGGGCATTTAAATGTGGTAAAGACTAAACAGATAGATTCACAGCTGCCATTGTGGTGCAGTGCGTTAGCTTGCTCCCTGCCGTGCTAGAATCCTTTCTGAGCAGTGGTTCAAGTCTTGGCTGTTTCACTTCCAATCCAGCACTTTTTTAATGTATCTGGAAAAGATGGCCCAAGATCCAGCTGAAGCTCAAGCTCCCAGCTTGGTCCGGACCAACCCTGTTACTGCCGTTGACTGGAGAATCAAAGCAGCAGATGGAAGATCTCTCTCCCTTCCTCCCCCTCTTCCTCTCTCTCTAACTCTGCCTTTCAAATCTGTCAAATTTACATAAAAGCAAAGATTCTGAGGGAAATGTCATCATCAACCGTGTTGAATCAGACTCAATTGCAGTCATTTTGTATATCAGTAAATCTGAAGTTGTTCCCCCAGGTAACAGATTTTCCTTTGCTGGAGACAGCAGTAACAACAGCAATGAACCTTGCTAAGGGCTTACTGCAAGCCAGGCACTAACTTCACTGCAACTTCCAAGGCAGTTACCCACTAATCCTGCTTAGAGGATGAATAAGTGGAAGCCCAGGCAGAGTAGGTAATTTGTTCAAAGTCTCACCTGAGGCGGTTAGCATCTTATCCTGAGTTAACCATGGTTTTTCAGTTCATGTATGTCAATTCATTTCATTTTAACATTATTCTGTGAGGAACTTAACTTTATTATTTACTCTGTTTATCTTCCTAATTTTGTTTCCAAAGAGATTTTTTTAAAGTAAACACAGAGAGGTGAAGTAATTTCACTTCATTCATTAAAAATCATGGCTTTGGAATTTAAGCTCATACTTTCAATCATTATACTATGCTATCTAAAAGAATGTTTGAGAATCTCTGCGAGTTTTTAAAATGGAAAACTCAGAGCAATTTAGGGCAAAATCTTCTTCAACAGAATAAAATCAGTAGAGAATTTCTGCAAATGATTAAAAAGAGCATTAACCTATCATAGATCGACAGGCTGGCAAGGGGTGACTCGCTTCCGACCACTAGGTGGCGAGAGCGAACAGGGCACTGTCCCTGGGAATGAGCAGGCGGCAAGGAAAAACAATCACGGAATAGTTAGGGGGCTTTCTATGCACCTTGGGAGGCCAACCAGTATAGGATCAATCACCAGAATGTAAGCAATAAGTTTACGTGTAGTACTGTCAGTATCAGATCCAAATCTAGTGAAAACAGGTGCTGATAGCTGGCAGTGTCTCTAAAATACCACATTCAATCTCAAATTCCTGAAATCTGGCCATTCACAGAAGAGGTCCTTATAGTCACTGGCTTCAGTAGTGCCAAGTGCCAGTGGACAGGTAGGTGTCTGGTGGGCGAGGAGAAGCTGACTCCTGCCACCAACACCTGTGCATGTGCACTTCCCACACCCAATCCCCGTTCGTGCTTGCGAGCTGGAAATAGCCTGAATGCAGGCTTTGCACATCATGACCAATGCACCACATGCCTTAGAAGACCAGTGTGTGCTCCAGTCCTGTGTAGAGACATCATGACACGTTGAGATTCCCCCAAAGAAGGACAGGATAACGAGTGGTAATCAAGCCCCAACCACACTCTGTCTTTGAATATCCAATGAAGCCCTTCCCGGGGCCTGCCTCCCACCATATGGAGGGACAAACCCAACTTTGGTGGAACTGCAGCCCTTCCTTCCTCGTGAATTCCTTCCTGCCTGCATACATATCCGGATGTGTGCTGTCCTTTTTGAGAAACCTTGATTTCCTGTACGCCTTTACATTGCCTTGAATACTTTTCTCACATGGAGACAAGACGTTGGACTGAGCCTGGTGTTCAAGTCCCAATAACATTATCAAAATCCCCAGGAAATTTTCATTCTTTCCAAGATGCATGAAAATATGTGCCACATGGACTTTTGGACACACAAAAGGGCACACAGTCTGCGTCTCTTGGGATCTAAAAATATGTGTCTTGGAGCAGGTGTTTGGCACAGAGGTCAAGACACCTGAACCCCTATTAGCATCTCAGTTAAAAACAGAGATATTTAGATTGGTCTGGGAAAAAAAAGACTCAAACTTCAGTCAATATGAGGAATGCTGCCAAGGCAGTAATTTGGGAAACTAATGACACTGAACTTTGACACTGAACTCTTACGTTAGAAAAGAATAAAGGCCTTAAGCTTTCTCCTTAATAAACTGGAAATGGACCAGTATAGCAAGCTAATCCTCCATCTGTGGCACCAGTATCCCCTGTGGGCACTGGTTGGAGTCCCAGCTACTCCACTTCCGATCCAGCTTCCAGATTGTGACCTAGAGAAACAATGCAGGATGGCCCCTTAGGCCCTTGCACCCACAAGGGAAAACTGGATCAGCCCAGCTCTGACCATTGTGACTGTTTGGGGAGTGAATCAGTGGTTGGAAGATCACTCTATCTCTGGCTCCCCCTCTCTCTCTGTAACTCTGATTTTGAAGTAAAATAAAAAGAGAGAAATTGGAAAAATAAAATTGTATCAAAACTAAATAGAAGAGCAGAAATAGAAGAGCAGAAAGTAATGAACTAGGAAAAGAAAAATAATATATATTGAGAAACAGAGGCAGAGAGAGACAGAGAAAGAGAGAGAGAGAGACTGAGAAAACTCAAGTCAAGGGATCTTAACTGGTAAATTCCAGCCAATATTTAATGAGGAAACCTAGTTCTAGATAAAATCTACTAGAAAATGAGGAAAATAGGGGAAAATTTCCCAATTTATTCTATTAGGCTGGAGATACTGAAGTCAGGTAAAGATATAATAAGAAAGGAAAACTGTAGACCAATATTCCTCACAAACATGGAAGTGAAAGTTCTTAGCAAAATATTAGCAGACTGAATACAGCAACATAACATAAGTAAACTATGCCATGAACAAATAAGATTTGCCTCTGCAATGCACGGCTGATTCAGCTGTTTAGAATTAATGAATAAAATTTGTCATAGTAATAGCTTAGTATATGACTATCTCAAAATGCAGAAAATGTTTTGGATACTAATGCAATGACAATTTCTGAATAAAAAACAACTTCCTCTCCAACCTTATAAAAGAATCTTGTGAAAAATCTACAATGAATAACTGGATGCTTTGTAAGATAAGGAGAAAAACAAGGATGTTCACTCTCACTTGTCCATTAAGATTCTGAAGATTCTGTCAGTGAAATCAGATAAAAAAAAATCACTGATTGGAAAAGAAATAAAGGTATCTGTATGTGCAGACGACATTACCATCTAAATAAATTTACAAATAAGGCACTAAAACCAACAGGTGGTTTTAAGAAAGTTGCAAAATCCAACAAGCAATTATATTCTTTGCCCAAGATTTAATTTTTTTAATAAAGGCAGAGTTATAGAGAAAGAAGAAGAGACAGAGAGATTTTCCATGCATTGGTTCACTTCCCAAATGGCTTCAATGGAGGCAGGCTATAGCACCTGGGAGCTTCTTTTGGGTCTCCCATGTGAGTGCAGGGACCCAAGCCCTTGGACCACCCTCTGCTGCTTTTCCAGGCACATCAGCAGGGAGCTGGATCAGAAGTGAAGCATCTGGGACTTGAACTAATACCCATATGGGATAACAGCGCCATAGGCAGAGGCTGCTATGCCACAGTGCTGGCACCAAGCATCAATTCTATTTTTAATTCATTGGAAGTGAACAATCAGAAATGTAAAAGCACCATTTACAGGAGTGCCAAAATATAAACCACTTAGATACAGAACTGTCAAAACATGTGAAAGACCTGTATATTGAATACAAATTCTTCAGATTTCATACAATTCCAATCAAAATATCAGCAAGCTTCCATGCAAAACAAACTATTAAAAACCTACATGGAAGGGGCCCAGCACAGTAGACTAGTGGCTAAACTTCTCGCCTTGAATGTTCTGGGATGCCATATGGGTGCTGGTTCTAATCCTGAAGGCCCCACTTTCCCTCCTTATCTTTCCCTCCTTGCAGCCTGGTGTACTGGTTAAATGATACAGAATAACCACAGCAGCTGTTGGCATGGATTTGGAGAAACTAGAGCTTTCGTATATTGCTAGTGGGAACGGAAACTGGTAAAACTGTGATGGAAAACACTTCGGCAGTTTTTCTAAAGTTAAACCCTTAGTACCATGATCCCACCATTCTTTAGGGATTTATCCGGTACAAATGATTATGTGGGTCTGTACAAAGACTTGTGCACAGATATTCATGAAAGCTTTATTAATAATATCTCTAAACTGAAAGCAATCCAAATGTCTGTCCCCAGGTGAATGAGCAAAGAACCGTGTTATATTCACACAATGAAATACTACTTTGCAATGAAATGAGCTTTTGATACAACATGGATAAAAACCCAAAATAGTTATGTCGAATAAAAGAAGTCTGCCTCCGCCCCCCCAAGTCAGCATATATGATTTATGCACAATTTATAAAAAATGCAAACTAACATGTAGTGACAAAATTAGATCAGTGATAGTCTGGGAGTGAGGCAGGCAACACAGAGAGAATTCCTCCAGGAGCAAACTTTGGTACTGACAGATCAGGTCAATATCTTGATCAAGATGGTTTCAAGGGTGTACACCTGTGCCAATATTAGTTAAAAATGTGTAGGCCAATTATGGTAGTTCAATTAAAGCTCCATAAAGTTGTTAGAAATTAATTTACAAAAGTCCCTACACACTTCAAAAGAGATAACAACATCCTTAATGTGAACTGGGTGATGGTAGTCATATCTTCATGGCCATTATTTTCATCGGATTGTTTTAGGGCTAAGACAAGTTGACCTCTTTCAGTCTTTGTCTCTGTAATTATAAGAACATAATGCCAAGTGCCATCTTGCAGATTGTTGTAATGATCTGCTTGTACTCACCAGGACCTAGCACAAAATGAATACCTCACAAATATCTGTTGAATAAACAAAAGCATGTACAGTGTTAGAGCAGTACCTAACCTACAGCTGGAATCCAACACATTATAGCCAACATTGGAATACAGAAGAGGAGGAGGAAGCAGCTTTGCTTGGCTTCCCTCCAGAATGAAGCAGGCTCACACAACTAAAACGCATGGAATGCCTTAGTATTGCTTTGAAAATATCTATAAAAATGAGTGATCTCATTTATTTATAGCATCAAGCTTTGGGTTAACTGAATAAAACACATGACTCCAAAGTGTGAGATTTTGTTTACGCTGAGTATCAGCATCAGGAATGGAGTGCTCTTCTTGTATGCTCTGTTGTTTAACCAAACATTGAATAATGGAAAGCCTCTTGGTAAGGCAATGTTTGGAAAAACACTTCTGTTGCTGGTGATTCCTCCACCTTTTCATCATATGTTGCTCTCCAGGTATGACAGCATACTCACCTTGGTCTCCATGGCTTTGACAGCTTTTGTGTGCACCCTTTCATTATTTCCACACAGCTGTGTGGGCTGAGAAATTTAAAGGCAATTTTCTTCCTTTACTCAGTTTTATTGCAGTGCTGCATAAACATTAATTTTTAAAATTATATTCTAGTTGAGAAGGGTAATTTGTTTCTCAGTACTTTGTAACTGATTTGGCTCAACTTCAGACATGCTCCATTTTACAGAACTGTTCTTGGGGCACATACATATTCATTAGGTTAGCGCCACTCACCTTCGTCATGGATTGAGTTTCCCAAACCTACACGAATGCGCCCAATTTGAAATCAAGTTGAACTGGATTCTGTTCACCCTTTTGAGTGTCTAGGAGGTTTTAATGTATTGGCTATAGCCATTACAGGCATTATAAGACATCATATTGGAGGAGTTGTTTTTTTGGTCCTTACATGTTAGACTATCATAACTCATTTCAGATGTAAGCCACCAGCACTCCAAGAGAAGGCACTTACCTTGTGCCTTGTAAAGAAGATGGTCTTCCTTCAGGCTGATCTTGGTTGGGCAGTGGTCTAAACTTGTTTCACCCTTAGACAACCTTAACTTTTAGGAGAAATTGTAAGAAAGAGAAGTTCATATATTCTTAAATCACCTTGAATCATAGCCATCTCTCCCACCTTCCCCATTTCAATTTTCATTAAGATTTTAGTTGCTTTTTTTTGCAGGTGAAATACCTAAGTCATGTGCCTAGAATCTTGCTACAGAAGGCAGCTTGTCTGGGGGCACATTTCAAAATCCAAAGTCTCATATGGTGTCTTCTGACAATCTCTCATGTTCCACTCCCTGCTACCTCTATGTTCATTTTAACATAAAAGAGTAACTTGTTCTCAGGGTTAGTACAATGGCATAGCAAGCTAATGCCCCAACTGTGGTGCTGGCATTCCATATGGGCAATGAATCGAATACTGGCTGCTCCACTTGTGTTTCAGTTCCCTGTTAATGGCCTGGGAGGGCAGAAGATGGCCCAGATGCTTAGGCTCCTGCAGTCACTTTGGGAACCCAGAGGAAGCTCCTGGCTCTCATCTTGGGACTGGCTCAGTTCTAGCTGCAGCAGCTATTTGGAACAGATAAAAGATCTGTCTCTCCCTCTCTCTCTGTAACGCAAGTAAAAATAAATATTTTTTTCTTCTTTTGAAAAGAATGACTCTTTCAATGTGCTCCAGACCTCGGGGTCGGACAGGCTAGGCAAAGTAGCTCCAACAGCTGGCAAATGTGTCAATTGGTAATGGAACAGGGTAGATCGGGCAGGACTGAGCAAACCTTACCCCACAAGAAAAACTAAAGACCAGGAGGGAGCACAGGTCATGCGGAGCTAGGCTCTTGCACCTACTGAGCCAGGAACGCTAAGCCACAGTGTCTAAGGCAGAGGTCAGGACAGGGGAGGGGCTGCGCCAAGCTGAGTCAGAGCAACCACTGGCATGCAAGTGATCTATGGCTGGGAACAGGCCTGGTTGGGGAGCTAAGGGGACAACCCTAGTTGGTTTGAGGTTACCACCAAGGGCCGTGTGACCTGAAATGGGGGCTGTGTTCTGATCTGGAAACGGTTGTAGTCTCCCTTGGCATAAGTGTGGACTGGGATTGGATGCACCAAGCCAGGCCAGACCCCCCAACACCCTCTGGTGTCCTGGAGGACTGGGATAGATGTGCGATGGACTAGGCAAGGTCTCAAAACCCTACTGAGCCATGTGTGAGCCATATGTGGGTATGGACAAACCATGGCTGGGCTGAAACATCCAACAGCAAGAACCAGTTTGGGTTGAAGGCCAGTCAGGAAAAGCCACTGTTCCTGCTATGACAGGAGGTGGACTGAGTAGGGCTGGCTCATGGACCCACTGGTAAGCGTGAAACCTTGCATTGGGAGAGGTTCTGATGGAGGAGCCTGGGCAACTCCTCAGGCAGGACACAGACCCGGCAGGTAAACACAAGAAACATGATAGGAAACAGCCCAGAACAGGCCATGGAAAGTTACCCACTGGCATACAATTGGCAGACATGGGGGCAAGACCAGGCTGAATCTGTCCACATCATCCACTGGCAAATCCAAGCACCAGTGTGGGTTGAGCCAGGTTCGGTCGCAACAAAGACTAGTGCACAATATGGAATGCCAAGGTGAGGTTGCCTGTACCGGAAGGGACCGCAGCACCCAACCAGCGTGAGAACAAGGAAGGAAGGGGGCAGAGCCAGCAGGGTAATATGGGAGGGTTCCTTTGCTGGACAGCTACTCCCGCAGGAGAGCATGGGCTGGGATGGGGGCAGACCAGACTAAGCAGAGCTACCACACCTGTGCGCCTCATGCGGACTAGATTAGGGAAAAGCCAGGCTGGGCTGATTATTCCTACTGGTGCAAACAAAATTAGAGTGGGCGAGGGTTGTTTGGGTTTAGCCACAGCATCAGCTGGCAGAAGCTGGCACTGGGGGCTAGTTCTGTCAAGTCAAACCACTGCATAATCTGGGAGTGGGAGAGGCCTGGGAGGGAAATAGTGGGCTCCTCCCTCTTGGGTTACCACTTCCACGGGAGGGCATAAAACTAGGACAGCGGCTGGGGTGGAATGGGGAGTGAGACAGACTGGACTACTGCTACACATACTGGCAAACCAGGGTAGGGGGCGGGCCTGGTGGGGGTTATTTTGGGTCGCTCCAACTAGGCTGGAGCTCCCACTGGTTCATGCGAGGGCCGAGCATGTGCTGGGCAGAACCAGGCTGGACTGCAACACCAATTGGTTCCAGTGGAAGTCGGGAGTGAAAACAGAACCAACTCAGCAATTGCAACCACCAGCTGATCGGGACCATGGACTGTGCCAGGCCCTGTACTTGTTAGCACATACAAGAATCTGGCTTGAGAACATCTCAGACAAAGTTTCTTTGGAGATCTCCCCAATCCAAATGCTGGACTCAGAACCCTAATCAAGAAAAGAGAGAAGACAGAACAGGTCAACCAATTATGTCAGCTATGTATTGGCAGCGAAATACGGGGCAAAGAGAGACTCTATGATGCGCTATGTCAATCAGTGGATTCTTCAAGAACCTCATAGTGCTTGGAGTGGCAAGATTGGCAGCGATTCATAACTGTTGAAATATCAAAACCACTTGAGCAAGAACCTCAGAGCATACCCTACATCTGGGACCTGGGGAGGGTGGGAAATGGAGTGGGCCTTCTCCCTTTATACCCCTCTTTAAACACGAAGGAAACAATATGGAAAAAATAATAGTCTTATCCACTTTCCTGTTGCCCTTGAACCTTTTTACTCCAATTAACTATGTAAAGATTGTCAAAATGCAATTAAAAAAAAAAAAAGAATGACTCGTTCTCCTGTTTCTTCTGTGAAGCCTTGGAAAGTTGTGGATGGAACTTGCATTAACCTGGGGACTTCTTGTTCTCCCTAGGGACACACACGCCTGAGTTTTGGAAGTGGGCCTGTGATCATCGTCCTCACTTGCCACTTGTGGCTCCCTTCCCCTTCCGTTCCTTCCAGCTGTCTCTCCACAGACTACTGACTTTTTGCTTGCTTGTTTTTTGTTGTAATGACTCTTGAATAAACCTCACCCAGAATATTTCTACCCAGTTCTTTCCCTGGAACTCCAGGAATATTCTGCATCTGCCCATGTGCTCTCTTGCACTGGGAGCAAGTACATCATCATGTCATTCCCACAGTACTCACAAGTCAAAAGAAAAGTATCAGGTTTGTGATTCAAATCAGACATTATAAAGACAGGACTCATCAAATCAGAGGCTAGCATGGTAGCCTAGCAGGTCAAGCAGGCCTTGTAGTGCTTGCATCCCATATGGGCACTAGTCTGTGTCTGGCTGCTGCACCTGGCATTCAGTTCTCTGATTACAGCCTGGGAAAACCAGTGACGTGTTTAGGCCCCTGCCAACCATTTGGGATGCCCAGATAGACTTCCCAGCCCCCAGCTACTGACCCAAGTTTGGACATTACTGCTCTGTTTTTAGAGGGTTTGTATATGAGGGTCATATGTGCATATATGTATATGTGTGGGGTGTATGCATATATGTACACACATGAACAGAGGGTGTATATTTGAGGGTAATTTATGTATATACATGTATAGAGGGTGTGTATATGAGGGTATATATATGGATATGTATGTATTATACGGAGTATGGAAGCCAATGGGATGGACTAAATCCTGTGTAATTTACCTTAGTGAGAGGTTTCCAGGCGAGATCTAGATGTAAAAAGGTAGAAGGGACATCAAAAGGAATTTCAATGGTTTCTTCTTTCTTTTTCTCGGTCACTTGTGGGGTTAAAGTTTTCTGTGGTCTAATATCCCAAAAACATATTGTGCTAAAAGAAAAGGTTTATGGTTTACTTTTCTTAATAATTACAGATATGAGGTATAATCTTAGTGTCACTATACATGAACAATGTACCTGAAGTAATATTTTAATGTTTGTGAAACTAAAATTTTTGTGAATCAGTACTTTCTACATTTTATATTTTAGAGAATCATTCTTCAAAAAGTTCATGATAGAGCCAGTGCTGTGGCTCAACAGGCTAATTCTGTGCTTGCAAGTGCCAGCATCCCATTTGGGCACCAGTTTGTGTCCCAGCTGCTTCACTTCTGATCCAGCTCTCTACTTACGACTGGAAAAGGAGCAAAGGATTGTCCAAGTCCATGGGACTCGGAACCTGCAGGGCAGACCCAGAAGCTTCTGCCTCCTGGTTGGCTTAACTCTGGCTGTTGTGGCCATTTGAGGAATAAAGCAGCAGATAGAAGAGCTTTCTCTCTGTCTCCCCTTTTCTCAGTAGATCTGCCTTTCCGATTAAAAAAGCTAATTTTTTAAAAAGTCCATTATAACCAGAATTAAAAGACCATTTTTTTTTTGAAGAAAATTTTTTGGAAGCCATGCATTACTTTTCCCTAATATTCACGTTTATGAACTTTATGAAGATTTCCCAAATTGTACTTGGTATTTTCTACTTCAGAATTTTAAGTTCTACACATTGAGATCATTTCACTTAAGTATATATTTTTCAACATAATTATGGAGTTATTCATAGAAAAACACATTTAAAAAATATCCACTAAGAGAAGAGGCATTTAGCACAGCAGATCAAGTTGTGCTGGAGATATGCACATTGCAGATCAGAGTGCCTGGCTCTGAGTCTTGTCTCTATTTCAGATCCAGCTTCCTGCTGATGCACACCCTGGGAAGAAGTGGGTGATGGCTCAAGCACTCGTGGCACTGCTGCCTGCTTGGGAGATATGAACTGAGTCCCAGGACTGCGGCTTCAGCCTGGCCCTGGCAGGGCTGCTGTGGATATTTGGAGAGTGAGCAAATTTAAGGGAGCTCTCCATATGTCTGCCTTTCAAATAGATAATTCTTTCCCAAATAACTAAAAAAAATACTAAAAAAAGTATGAATAGACAACAAAAATGTAAGCCTTCTATTTTTAAAAGATGCTTTCCTAATTAAATGTTTACAATCTTCATAATTATGATATTATGGAATTATAAATAACACATATTGGGAACATGAAGAGGCAGGAAAAACTATGGGTATTTCTATACCAGTCATGAGCCTAGTTAATTGCTCTTTTTACAATTTATCTCTGTAAAAGCATGAACTACTAGCAATCTATAAAATTCTGTCCTTTAGCTATATTGGGTTTAGCTACTGTATTAAAGGGCATACAAAGAGCAAAAGAAGACAATAGTTTTAGGAGCATCCAAGTGAAAAAAGAACATATGATATAGAAACATTTTAGGCAGTGTTTGAAATGAGACATACCAATCTGCTGAACACGTCACAAGTTGACAGGATATTCCACTTCGATTCTCATAGACAGAGCCCAGTCTGTTAATCTAGTTTTTAAAAATTGGAAGAAAGGTCAATTCTGTACATCTAGAAGAATATTTTTAAATAGGTACTTTTAAGTTTTTTTGTTGCCTTGTTTTAAATTTTAATAAAAGAACATGATACTATCATAAATGTCTGGGAAATAAAAGATTTTACAAGTTTTTAAAATCTAATTTTACTTGAAAGGCAGAACTACACAGAGAGAGAGGATGGGAAAAAGAATCTTCCACCTGATGGTTTACTTCCCAAATGGCTATAATAGCCAGGTCTGGGTGAGGCTAAAGCTGGGAGCCAGTAATTCCAACTAGGTCTCTCATGTCGGTGGCAGAAAGACCCAAGCACTTGAGATATCATCTGTTGCCTGCCGAGGGCATTAGCAGGAAGTGGATTAGAAGTGAAGCAGCTGGGGCTTGAACTGGCTCTTTCATATGGCATGCTCATGTCACTGGCAGAAGTTTAATCTGTGCTACAACAATGAATCTGTGATTTTAAAATCAAACACAATCTGCATATAATTTTTTTCAATTTTCTGTCCCAGAAATATTTTTAAAGTTTTGATAAGAATGCCTGTACATTTAAAAATTATTTTATTTATTTAAAAGGCAAAGAGAGACGAATGGACAGAGCTGCACAGAGGAATTTCCCATCTGATGCTCTACTTTCCCAAATGCCTGGAACACCAGGAATGGGCCAGGCTGAAGGCAGGAGCCTGGAATGCAATCTGGGTCCCCTACATGTGTGAAAGAGACCCGTCATCTGCTGTCTCCTAGGGTGGCCTTAGCAGCAAGCCAGACTCAGAAGGAAAGCCAAGGACCTGAAGCCAGGCATCTGGATGTCCAACTCAACTGTGTGAAATGCCTACGCCCTAATACTGAGATTTTTCACTTTACATAATTTGTGCACTACTTGCTCATTCACAAACTATCTCAGTAGTTTACAATATACTATTGATGTGCCATGGTTTCTCTATCCATTCTTATTAGAGACCTAGAGCTCAGTCAGACATCAGCACAGTTTGGAACTCCTCCTAATCAGCAGCACAACTCTGCCAATCCTCAGTGGATCCCTTGCAGGTCTTCATGACTCCCCAAGGTCCCAGGGGGTCCACAACTTTCCTCAGCGAGTTCTCAGAGGAGACAAAAGCTTTAGGGCAACCTATGAGGGGACCACTCTCAGATCAGTAGAGGAATGTGACTTAGCCCAATACCCTGTTTTCCTGGGAAGATGATAAGCAGAATAGGAACAGGGTTTTTGGCTACAAAGCAACCAGGAAAGGAGGCATGGAGCACAGGGACAGGTGGTGGCTTCGCGAGACCGGACACATCCCAGGAACCAGACAACCACAAAACGACTGACCCACTCCAGGCCTGCACTTGTCGCAGGTTCAGCTGTGGCTAGCAACTTGCACTCAAATCTGATAACCTTTCATGTTTCTGACAGCCTGTCTCATGCTGGGATACTGAGGCTTCTCTGATGGATGAGTTTGGAGACTTCAGAGATGTACGCTCAGGAGCTTTATTCTTCAACATTTGAAAATACCCAAACATAGCAATATAACAGAAATTTTGGAAGAATTTAAAAAAATCAAATATAGTTCTACCCACCTTTCTTTCTTCTTCTTTTATTAAGATTTATTTCTTTTTACTGGAAAGGCAGATTTACAGAGAGAAGGAGAGACAGAAAGATCTTCCATCCACTGGCTCACTCCCCAAGTAGCCACAATGTCTGGGGCTGAGCCTATCTGAAGGCAGGAGTCAAGAGCCTCCTGCTGGTCTTCCATGTGGGTGCAGGGTCCCAAAGCTTTGGGCCGTCCTCGACTGCTTTCCCGGGGCCACAGGCAAGGAGCTGGATGGGAAGTGGAGCTGCCGGGACCAAAACCGGCGTCCACATGGAATCTCAGCATGTTCAAGGCAAGGACGTTAGCCACTAGGCTACTGTGACTGGTCCAAGTTTGGACATTTGAATGAAGAGCCACACTGACTAATTCTAGACGTTCATGTTGCAGTCTCAGTTTTACAATTTTGTTGCTTGAAATTTCCACTTAAAAATTAAGTCTGAAATAAGCCAGTAATTTTCTTTTGTTATTAGTGGATATTTTATGAGTTAATGTTTTCATGATGACTTACTAATTACTTTTGTGTAAATTTTGATAATCTGAGATTTTATATTTGCATTTGTTGCGAATCTTTTGAATCTGTCAGTTTTTCTGTTTGTGATTTCTTTCAGGTCTAACAAGCTTAGAAGAATTCCAGAATCTGATAGTGTATTCTTATTTGCTGCATTTTCTATGATTTATTTTATTTAAATTTGTAGCCATCTCAACATATTTATGTGTCTGATGTGATTTGAAATGAAGTCCTTTTTCATTTGCTCCAACTTCCAATGTCATGTTAGGTTTTTCTTGCTAATAGAGATGATATCTAAGCTATTTGTTTTGGTTTTTTTTATGATTTTTAGAATTATATACACTTCATATAATTTTAACTTGGAATGCCATTAAAATATCTGGCAGATTATCTGGCAGATCTAATTAGCTGTCCTAACTCAGAATACTACCAGAATAGTTAGTATATTCTTGGATATTCTTATCTAGCAATTCTTCAAATCACCCAGTAACTCCTTAGTATCCCTGAAGGAAACACGTGGGGTGCCAAACAGCATCCAAAGTCCCCAATACGGGCAAATTCAGAACCAGAGTGCCAGGCAGTTACCTGGACTTGTTACTGCACAATCAGTAGGCAATTTGTGAAGGTGCCACACTCAGATCAACATAGAAACACGACCTTCTTGGTCATTCAATTCAAAAACTGTGCTTGGGCAAACTCACAGCTGGCAATGTATCACAGATCTTTAGGGCTTGCTGGCCTCCAGATAACTGGCATCCTAACTCCATAAACACTCAGACTGTAACATATGTATACCTGACTTTCACATATCAAATCATCTTCTTCACCGTTGTATTTTATCAGTGTTGGCACCATCTACATCTTTAATTTATAAGCTTTCCACACTGGAAGAGTGATCATAATCTTCTCCTTAAGCTGGGTCCTGACATGGCAACAGCAACTCAGCTTTGTGATATGGAGTTCCTGGCTGATGTAGATATAAGTGAACTGTCCATTTGAAACATCTTCTTGGGCTAAAACCCTTAACATTTACAACCCATCCTGAGACAAGTGTAAAGCCATCAAGACTTACCTCAAATGTATCAGACAGCCAGTGGATATCTGTAATTACTTTCTTGTGTCCGTTTTCTATTGAAGAGACTGCGCAGTGTCTGATATACATCGCTTCCTTATTACTGTCTGGTTCAAGGAGAAACATAGGCTGCAAAAATGTTAAAGCAGAGTTACTTGCTAATTCAGAGTGCTGATGAGTGAACTCATGTTTAAATTTTTATTCCAACTGAAACTTGGAGATATACCAGCTCAGGGAAAAATACAAATTAATGTTCCTATATGCCATACACTTAGGTAATAGGATTGTCTACCTTCACTAGTGGTTTAAAGCTTTTCTTTTTCTTTGTTTTTCAAGTCCACAAATATTACTGAACTATTCCCTTAAGAATCAGTAAGACACTGATTTTTGAAAAGGTATATCTCTGTGTGCCCACATGACATGCCACCACTCCTTGGTGAGCTAACAGTTGATGTGCCGATGAATGCAGATGTGTAATCTAGTGGGTAAGTACTGAGAGTGAGCCGAGACATCTGCTGAACTCTCTCCACAGAACTTGCCATCTCACGAAGTCTCAGGAGGACAGTAACCTCTGCATTTTATGCATGGGAACATTGATTCCCGCGCATGTGAGATGGCACATCCAACCTCACAGGACCGTAATGCAGACCCCGCATACCTGACCCTGCCACTTACGGTTTTTCAATGACATGCCTTAAGATAAGTCACTTGGTCCCTTCATTTTGTTTAACAACAATAATCGCAAAAAGAACCTAACATCCCAGCACAGATGATGCAAGCAGCTTGGTTGAGTTTTTAATGTAGGCCCACTTAGAAGTGACTGGGACATGCCCACAAGCAGATGGGAAATCCTGGGAAACAGTGTCCCCCCTCCTGCTTCCCTGCAATGACTATGCTAAGCTTCACAGTTCTGTTACGAACAATCTCACAAGTGCAAAGTTACAAAAAGCTAACCTTGAGAGCGACTTTTTTACTTCTGCTACCCCCTGCCTTGATGTTTTCTATGCGATCTGCGTGTGAAGTGATATCCCACATGACAACCTAAAACAAAAGCACATATGATTATTGCATTTTCAGAGATAGTTGAGTCTTGCAGATATTAAAAAAAAATCCTACTGACATACAACATGAGAAGTCAGTCACCCTAGGGGATAACCAGGAGCTTTTCTTTTCTAAAAATTCATTTATTTTTATTGGAATGACAGAACTACAGAAAAAAGAGATGGAGAGAAAGATCTTCTATCTGTTGGTTCACTCCCCAAGTGGTCACAATAGCTGGAACTGAGCTGATCCGAACCCAGGACCCTGCAGCTTCTCCTGGGTATCCCATGTGGGTGCAGGGTCCCAAAGCTTTGGGCCATCCTCTGCTGCCTTCCCAGGCCACAAGCAAGGAGCTGGATAGCAAGTGGAATAGCCGCGATATGAACTGGCACCCATATGGGATCTCAGCAGTCGCATGCAAAGCGATAACTTTAGCCACTAGGCTACTGTGCTGGGACCCAACCAAGAACTTTTCTTTTTTTAAGATTTATGTTTATTCTTCATTACAAAATCAGATATACAGAATGGAAGATCTTCCGTCCATTGATTCACTCCCCAAGTAACCACAACTGCCGGAGGTAAGCCAATCCAAAGCCAGGAGCCAGGAGCTCTTCCCATGTGGGTTCAGGGTCCCAAGCATTTAGGCTGTCCTTGACTGCTTTCCCAGGCCAAAAGCAGGAAGCTGGATGGGAAGTGGAGCTGCCGGGATTTGAACTGGCACCCTTATGGGATCTTGGCATGTTCAAGGCGAGGACTTTAGGTGCTAGATCACCGTGCCAGACCCCCAGCCAGGAACGTTTAAAGATAAATAAAAAAGAATGCTTTCTTCTCTATAAAAGAAGTCTCAGCCTTTTAAATTTTGAGTTTAACAGATTCTAGTATTGTTAAAAATCTAACCCAAGTGCCATGAGATTCCGTTTGTGTTGACAAGAGTTCCTCTTCCGCTTGGCCAGGGGCTGTGATTGTAGGACCAGCTGCTTTAGACTCCAGGTAAACAGTCTGTGCTCCTGAATCAAGTATGGAAACCGAGCTATGCTCAAATGCTGCGAAGTGCTAACTTCTATCAAACTGAATATTAGGGCCAACTCTGAATTTTCATGTCAAGATAGTTACCTTTTTGAAGAATCAGCATAAGGTAGAATATACAACACTGAATTCAATTAATTTTCAATGACTAAAATATATTTTGGTACATTAAAATGTTAAACTGTCAGGATTAAGCAAATCCCATGATTTTATTTTCAGTATGCGCTTTTCTAAAATATTTTAAAGCAAAGTTGAATTCCCTTTGTAATGAATAAACGAGGTATTATGGGAAAGGCTTGGGGGATAAGCTGCGCGCCATTATGACAACCCTCTGTAATTATTTAACAACAATGCAGGAGAAATTTGTTTTCCAGGTTCTGGATAAATGTTTATGTGAGCTGCAGTTAAATCTTAACCACAAAAGTTTTCCTGGCATACACAAAGATTGTTGTCTAGCTCACTAAATCACAATAAATTCAAACTTTAATTACAAAGATTTTTGTTTTGTTTTATTAGAAAAGCACAAGATCAGAAGACAGGATTTAAATTTTATAAACTCTATGTACATCAAATAATCTAAAAAGGGAGAAAAAAATGACACAAACAGTGTCAGATTATCGATACCTAAACTTAATGACATATGACTGTTTAAATTTACAATCACTTTTTAACCCCAACCCTGGGGAAATATCAGATGATGCCTCTTGTAACTTTTGTTCTTACAGGAGGGCACCCAGTTCTGGAGAACTTCAGGTGTTTCATATCATGTCTAACACGTCTTTGTACCCTGGTATGAAAAGTGACCTAAAACTGGCATTCTTTGCTTCTGTGGAACTGAAATTCTTAAACAAAAAAGAAAGAAAGGAAAGAAAAAATCCTACAAAATCAAAGCTTAGCAGAGAAATGTTTTTTACTTTAATAAGTAGCTGAAAAGCCCCTCACACCTACCTGTCCATTTATACAGCCTCCAGCGATGATGTTGGGGTCACTGGGACAGAACTGGAAACAGAAGATGTCATCTGGGCTTTCTAGCATTAACTGAGGTGAACCCAGCACATTCAAGAAAGAGTGAGAAAATATATTAAGATCATAGCTTGAAAAAAAAACACTAAGGCAGCTGAATTTTTTTACACTACCTTGCCAACTCTCCCTCGTTACCTGAGGATGGATGGGATCAGAGAAACTCCAGAAAAGAATTAGTGATGGCTGCAGCAACAATTTACCAGAAAACTGGACTCTGTTTTCAAAGGAGAGACGCACAGCCACCGACACAGCTATCAGCCCTGAGTGAGGCACAAGGAGAAGTTTAAGTCAGCTGCAACTGAATCAGGAGAGGTGGTTCTAGTGTCACTTTCTACAGAATGATTCTTTGCTTCCATTCTGACGAAATCTGAGTAGAAATATCCATAGGAGCGCCAGAGCTGTCTTAGAGCTCTGCTGTTTTGTGTGGCAGCTACTAGCCACAGGTCATTTATTTAGCACTCGGAATGAGGTTAGTTCGAATTGAGGAGTACTGCTGGCATAAAATCAACAATGGACTTCAAACATTCATTAAAAAAGTAATATTTGCTTTGGATTTTGTGTGTATTACATAATGGCCAACAGGGACTCTGGGCTAGAAGAACGAGAAATGAGGGCCCTTCTGTATGTCTCTATCTGCATGTAGTCCTACTGCTTCTGACCGCAGAGCTTGCTGAAGGCAGGGTGTTTATTATCTAGTTTAACAATCAGAGACAGAGGATTGGATGGAATGAACTCTGCCCTGGCAGTACAATCAATCTGAATCAAATTCTGATTTTGTGTTGCACCAGGTGGGTGACCTGAGCATGCCACTTCTCTGCACTGAGTTTCTTTCTTCTTGGTGTAAAACAGAGATAATAAATATGAACCTCTCCTACAGGAAAGCTGGGAGGACATATGGAAGGGAAGGTACAGAAAGTGCTTGGCAGGTGGCTGGTACTCACCAAGTAGAAGTGATTTTATTGAAATCGAGCAAACAGGCTATTTTCCATGTGAAAATGAGATGATTTTAATGTCCTCACCAGCAGGGTCCTCACCATAGATAGTTGGGTGCCAAGACACACAGGTGATCATCTTCTCCATGGGGCTATGAAGGTCCGTGAAGGACTGGTACTCCTTCAGGTGAGTGTCGGACTTGTCCCCAAATGTGCCTTCCTCTTCTGCCAGGTGTCTCCAGTCATCAATAAATGTGTCCATGATTTCATTTTGCTGCAGGGCTATTTCAACACTGTAATAAAAATAAAGTGTTTGGGTTTTAGTATTTAGTGCTACAAGTTACTTTACTTAGACTGAACAAAAACCAATCCTTCTCAATTCCATTTGGTAAAATAATGATTAACCTCATGTGAGATAAATGACTTAGAAAAAGTTCCTGGCAGTGTGCAGCTCAGAGCTTCTCTCAAGAATGTGCAATTTTGGGGTTAGTGTTGGACACACCGATGAAGACACCACTCGGGATGCTTTGATCCCACAATGGAGAGCCTGGGTTTCCAGCAATGCACCCAGTACCAGCTTCCTGCTAGTGTGCACCTGCAAGCAAGCACATAATGGCTGAAGTAGTTGGGTTCCTGAGAGATATGGGTTGAACTTTTGCCTCCTGGTTTTGATCTGGCCCAAGCCTTGGCTATTTGCAGACATTTGGAAAAGTGAGCCAAGAGATAGCAGATCTCTTTCTTTCAAACTACAAATTAATAAAATAGCAAAGATAAATAAATAAGCTAATATGAAGTATTTTGTTTTAAAAAAAACTTGCTGTTAAGCTACCAGGAGTGCTGTTAGCCAATAGCCTCTAGCAGCTTCCTGGTCGGCCTGCCTTCAAGGCACAATTGAGCTGCCTGTGGCATGTGCTGCCCCCTGGCTTTGGGACCGAGTGTGACAGTTGCAGACTTGGCCTGGTTGGCCTCTGACTCCTGCACCAGGTTTCAGTTGCTGTGGAAGGGAACTAGCTTGGCTGGGGATTGGCCTGAAACTCTGCCTTTCTGACTTGCTCCTTCCTCCTTCGGTTTCCCGGTGCAACCCTGAGTACTGAGTAGACCTCTATTAGCAACTTGGTCTCAGTTGCTTCCTGGAGAGCCCAAACTGACACAAAAGGCAATTTTTTTAAAAGATTTATTTTTTTATTTTTTTATTGGAAAGGTGGATATACAGAGAGGAGAGACAGAGAGGAAGAACTTCCATCCGATGATTCACTCCCCAAGTGGCCATAACGGCTGGAGCTGAGCCAGTCCGAAGCCAGGAGCCTCTTCCGGGTCTCCCACACGGGTGCAGGGTCCCAAAGCCTTGGGCTGTCCTCGACTGCTTTCCCCGGCCACAGGCAGGGAGCTGGATGGGAAGCGGAGCTGCTGGGATTAGAACCGGCGACCACATGGGATCCCGGGCGTGTAAGGCAAGGACCTTAGCCACCACACCATCGCGCCGGGCCCAAAAGGCAATTTTCTTAGGCATATTTAATACCAAATGATTACTTACACAAATAGCACCAGTGCAAGTGCGTTTATATAATTCCAAACAACAAATAAGAGATTCTCAGTCAATGAAGATAGGAAATTTAGAAGGGTGTATGTTGGGGTGGGGAATTAGTTGCCTTAAAGCTTCAGAGTTGCTACTGTGTCAAATTGCATTATTAAACTTCCAGCAATGCATGAAACAGTCTCTAAAATGAAGCCTTGTCCTGCTAATGGCTCTCCTGTAAGAGATGCTCTGAGTGGTAGAATTATCTCCTAGCAGTACCTGAGACCCCGCTTTGACTGGCTCCCATTTTAAACGGTTACCATGATGCTGGTCATCCCTTATATGCTTAGATTTGAAGCTTCTGTTTGCTCTGGAGGCCTCATGGGGCTTTCCCACAACTAGGATGCCCTCTATGATTCATCCTAATGACCCAGCAGCTTGTGTTGTTCATAGGTGTGGTGAGCTGAAAGAGCTGTTCTCATTTACAAATTTCTTAAAATCAGAAAATGTATTTATTTAAATGATTCCATGACATCTCATCACAATATGTACAAAGGATTGATACATTTCCTACATCATTACTGTTACCAGTCATTGCTTGATTGAATCCCATCTCCATGAAAGGATTCTTGAACTTCGTCTTTCAAAACAGAGTATTTCGTAGGACCTTGCTACTTAAAATGTGGCCCAGGGACCAGCAGTAGCAGCACTGTCTGGAACCTGTCAGAAGGGTAGAGACACAGGTGACCTATGGAATCAGAAGTTGCATTTTAACAAGGTCCCCGGGAGGCTCAATTGCTCATTAACCTTTGAGTAGCTCCGTGTAGCTGCTCATGTTAAGGCATGGAACTTCAAGGCTTCAATTCAATTTCAAGTTGAACCATTACTCATTTCTATGTCAACCTGGGTGAGACAGGAATTCCCTAAAAGGATGTTAAAGACAGGTTCTTTGCTCTGCTTTCCTGAGTCTTCCAACTGGCTTAAGAGTGACAGGCACGCGCAACATTCACAAGGGAGACGAGAAAAAAACCCTTTTCTTAAGGTGCAGTCACTGGATTTCTCAGAAAACGTGATTCAGAGAGCAAAAAATTGGAGGCTGGCAGAACTGTTAACCAGAAGAAAACCCAGGCCCATCACTGCTTTCCTGATTCCAAAATGCAGGTTTCTTGGTTGCCATGGGAATATCCTTGCCATCTCTCTCAGATTCTATCATTTTCTCTGCAACTAATACTTCTGATAAGTTAGGTTTTAGCCAAAATCCTATGAAAAAGATATCTCTCCATACTTAAAAAAATTTATTTATTTATTTATTTATGTAAAGAGAACAGATGCCATATATTTCATATAGATGTAACAGCATAGCGAGTCTCCCCACTTCTTCCCTGACGCCCACTTCCTAATTTCTTTATTTTAACTTCTTGCAATGACATACTTTGAATTTAGTTTATAATCACAAGCTTAATTCTCCACTGAATAAGGAACTCAACATGTAGAAAGCAGAAATACCACTGCTCCTCAGGAGAACAGACAAGGGTTATAAATGATAACTAAATCTCAACACCTCAATTTCACTCACATATATTACATGTTTTTGTTCTCTGTATATTAGGCACCAGAAATCAGAGAAAATATATTTGTCTTTTGGAGACTGGCTTATGTCACTAAGCATAACAACATTCAACAGCATTTATTTTGTTGGAAAGCACAGGATTTCATTCGTTATTATGGCTGAGTAGCCTTTATATGGTCATGTATGATTTCTTTAGCTAGTCATCAGTTAGTGGAATCATGCATGATTCCCTATGTTATCTGTTATGAATTCAGCTGTGGTAAACATTGGGTACAGATAACTCTTTCATATATCATAGACAAGGAAAAGAAATCAAAGGGAGACTAATGGAAAGGGAGAGTCAAGCTAACCCTGTTTGCAGCTGAGATGATCCTGTACATAGGGAGACCAGAGGACCTCACTAAGAGACTATCAGAACTTGTAAGAGGGATTTGCACAGCTGCAGGGTATAAAATTAACACATAAAAACCAATAGTCTTTTATACAAAGACAATACTATGGCTAAGGAAAAGCTTGTAATATCAGTCCCATTTATCATAACTACAAAAATTTTTAATACTTTGGGACAAATTTAGCCAGACAGATAGAAGATCTCTATAGTAAAAACTACCAAATATTAAGGAAAGAAACAGAAGACAACAAAAATGAAAGAAAAAAAAAAACTCCACATTTGTGGATTGGAAGCATTAGTGTTTTCAAAATTTCCATACTGCCAGATCAATTTATAGATTCAATGCGATCCCTATTAAAGTACTAAAGTTGTTCTCAGATCTGTAAAAAGACCCATAAAGTTCACATGGAAACAGAAGAGATCCCAAATAGCTAAAGCAATGTGAAGTGATACAAAGTTGGAGGCATTGTAGGATCAGATTTTACAACATTCTGTTGGGTAATTATAATCAAAAGAGTCTGGTATTGGCATAAAAACAGCCATGTGGACCAATGAAAAATCTCATTTCTCAGAAGGTTTTCTTACAGAACAAAGCCAGGCTTGTGTTACTTTTAAAATAGTCAAATAAACTTGAAACTGGAGGTAGGATGAGCTTCTTAGTACTTCCTCACCACTGCCATTATAATTCCTGTACTAATGTTTCTTCTTCTCCTTATTTTCTACCTCCCACCCACATCTATTATAATACTATTCCTTATTCATTTCTTTCTAACAAGATGACTGAAAGGGAAAAATAAAAACATGAGACTAAAATAATACGTGCTGTGAATAATCGAGAATTGACTACTGGCCATTGATTTTGAACAGTTTCTGTTTTTTTAAAGATTTATTTATTCAAATTTAAAGTTATTAAGCCAGGAGCCAGGAACTTTATCTTAGTCTCCTATGTGGGTGACAGAAGCCCAAATACTTAAGCCATCTTCCATTGCTTTTTCCAAGTCATTACTAGGGAGCTGGATCAGAAGTGGAGCAGTTGGGACATGGTACTCAAATAAAATGACCGTGTCGAGAATGGCAGGTTAACCTGCTGCATACAATGCCAGCCCCATTTCTAGAACACTTTAAACATTTTTTCAGTCTTTTTTTCCCTAAGAAGTGATCACATATAAGCAAATGTTCTTATTAGCAAATGTTATTTGCAATTTGAGGAATAAGAAATCTTAGGTTTTCTAGCTTCTTTCTCAATGCCAACATAGGATAAAATGCAACATGCTCTCTGAGAGTAAGTAGTGAACAATTAATGCTCTTTCCAAAACACCTAATGAAATTTTGAATTCAATTTTTCTGGGACATACTTGGCAGTTTCTGAAATTTGATGAAATTTCTCAACCTTTAATCTACTGTGAAAGAGATTTTCTTACATGTAAAAATAAAAATGTTTCACATATGCTATTTAATTGACTTTGTCACTGAATTTCTAATTTTGCAAAGAAATTGAAACCAAGCTAATAGCTTAACTGGCAGATGTGTCCCCCACTGGCTCCACTTCCCTGAACCCTGATGTCTGCTTAAAGAGACTCGATCAAACTCTGCCTGTTTTTCATGATCCCAGGGTTCTGTGCCCAGTCCGGTCCTATTGTAGAAGGCATACTGTGAAGTATTCTTGCTTTGAGAGTGGAATCAACACAGAAATTAGGGATAGCAGTGACACATCCAAAAGGTATGTCTTAATTTGGGTTCTCCTTTGCAAAGATATTTTTGTGAATACTATTAGGATAATTCAAAAGTCAAAAGATCCTTTTTACACCTTTTCATCATACCCACAATTCCTCATCCTCACCATCTGATGATGATCAATTAAGATGAGAGGTGGGGCCCAGCAGTGTGGCCTAGCGGCTAAAGTCCTTGCCTTGCACGCCCGGGATCCCATACGGGCGCCGGTTCTAATCCCGGCAGCCCCGCTTCCCATCCAGCTCCCTGCCTGTGGCCTGGGAAAGCAGTTGAGGATGGCCCAAAGCCTTGGGACCCTGTATCCATGTGGGAGACCCAGAAGAAGTTCCTGGCTCCTGGCTTCGGATTGGCACAGCATTGGCCGTTGCGCTCACTTGGGGAGTGAATCATTGGATGGAAGCTCTTCCTCTCTGTCTCTCCTCCTCTCTGTATATCTGACTTTCCAATAAATAAGTAAATCTTTAAAAAAAAAAAAACAAAGATGAGAGGTGAATGAGAAGTGAAGGAAAGGACTTAAGTAAAACAAACTATGATGAATACAAATATAGGATTAGTATGCCTAAGCTGAAGATTTAAAGTGCTAAGAGCTCCCAAAATCTTTAATTTTTTGAGCACCGACATGATGCCACAGGGGGAAAATATTTATACTCTGCAACTTCATTTCATGATTATTTTAATAAAAAAGTTATTAAAAATATTGTATAGAATTTCCTTTTGGCCATATGTAAAAGGTATAGAGAAAACGTAAGTGAATTATGTGTTTATACTGGGCTCCTTGCATAAGGGAGCCCATTATGAATATGTAAATATCCCCAAATTCCAAAAGACTAGAAATCAAAAATGTTTCTGGTTCCAAGCATTTTCAACAAGGAAGACTCAATCTGCAATTGTTCATTTGCAATTGGGGAAAGATTGTCACTGAACCAATTATTCTCAATGGTGTGGCCCTAGCTTGCAAGGTCTAGGATGTTGTTCAGTAAGTGAAAGGAAACAAATGCTCAGACTCTACGGAATATCAGTTCATATTAACTCTCTGAATACCATCTACAGAAGTGATGACTAGGATTTACTATGATAGCTAAATATACACATTTTTATGCTTTATTTAAAATATTAATATAGAATCATTTACCTTACGGACACATTGTTAAGAAAATCAATCAAAGACTTTGATTGTCCAAATGTCTCTTTTTCCTCTTCTGAGAACTCTCTTGCATGATATTGTGTAGCAGCATTTTTGGGGTATGTCCTAGTATTTTAAAAAGTGAACATCTAGATTAGATAAAAGAAAAGCAAGTATAGATCATGAAAAGTCAAAAGATTGTCTCTGTGGCAGTTATTTTAACATCTTACTTAATACTTGAAATCCCATGCATTGGATTTTTTGTTTATTTCAGACAACTGAAACTGACTACCATTCAAAGTTTGCATATACAGTTTTAAAATGTAATCAATATAATAAAACTTTCATTTTCATTTAGAAAACATCTGAAACTTACGGAAAGTTATAGGAAGATATAATCAACTATCATATACCTTTCATGCAGATTCATCAGTGCTAACATACTGAGAAGTTTAGCAATCTTTATTTCTTTAAGTCAGTGCTCCATCAAATCCACCCTATCCTTTTAGGGAACATCTGGCAATATCTGGAAACATTTTTGATTTCCACAATTGGGAAGTGTCACAGATGTCTAATGGGTGGAGCCCATCGATGCTGTTAAATGCCCTGTAAAGTAGCCCTTCCACATCAGTGAAGAATTCAGCCTAAAATATCAGTCATGTCATGATTGAAAAACCCTGCTCTAAATACACAAAACTGGGAATAAGTCACACTCAGCTGAGTAAGGGCAGCTTGGCCTTGGCAGGAGATCGTTCTCCACCCAGTCTTGACTTCATCCCTCTCCTCCTCCTTTCCCTTCTCCTTTCCTTCTTTCCCTTCATTTTATAAATACGCTCCTAGGAGTTGAGGTTGTGGCAGTAAACAGAAGCTCAGGAGGGATGACAACAATTCAGCAAGATATGAAGAGGGCTTGGTTCAAAGTAATACCACTGGATATAATTTGAAGATAGACCCCAACAAAACCCAAGGTGTTTGGTCTATCTAATTAGAAGAATATCATCATCTTTTACTGATGATATTCAGGTGTGGAGGTAGAAATAAAGTAGTTGGCTTGGCACATTAAATTTGAAATACTATGAGAATCTAACCGAGTGATGAATAAATGACAATAGAGTTTACTAGAGGGATCCAAGTTGAAAGTGCAGGTTTGGGAGTCACAAGCAAATGACTGAGAAGTAATACCACAAGACTGGATCAATTCATGCAGCAAGTAAGTATAATTAAAGATTAGAAGTATCTGGCTTTGGGGATCCTCAAATGCTTGGAATTGAGGAGGCTCTGGTAAAAGAAACTGAGAAGGAGCTGGAGGTGAGTTAGGAAGTAAATGTTGTCCATCAATTAAGTGAAAATAATGTTTCAAGGAGGAAAGCTGGTCAGTCCTGCCAAGAAGTGAAGTAAGAGAAGGTCTGAAAAATTGACCACTGGGTTATGCAATCAGACCAGAGAAAGTCTTTGGTGACCTTGTTAAGACTGTTCAGAGAAAGGCTCCAGACAGAATAGTGGAAGGGAAAGTGAAGCTGGGCAATGTGGCTAACTGCTTTGAGATGTTTCATCGTAAAGAGGTGGAGCTACAGGGGTCAATACAGTGGAGTTTTATTTGTTGTAATAGTAGGGTCCTTACATGTCTCCTTTCCACTCCTTCCTCTTAGTTTACTGTTGCCAGCTCATTTTGACATCGATCACATTTTACCTGCTTTAATTAACACAGGCTTTTATTTGGCCAATCATCTCTGCTCCTGATTTTCTCTTCCTAGCCCTGTACTCTATATACTACCTGGCTCATTCAATTTTTACAGCTTTCTCATCATCCTTCTCCCTTACTTCAGAACTTGCCAAAGTTCCCTGCTGTCCACCTCAGAAAAGCCACTTCCCTGTTACTTCCTCCACTCGCCCAGGCTGTTCTCTTTGTGGTCCCATGCAAACCTCCCACTTCCTTGAATTGTTTAGGCCATGTAAGAAATTTGTGCTGCTTTCCCTTTCTCTATGTCTCAAAATCCTACTTAAAATGTGTGGCTTTTCTTCTGCAAACTTAAAATTATTTCAAAATTAAAATATTTTAAAAGTTCTTTAAAAAGCATATTTTAATATGTCTTTACATTTATATAACATTCAAATCTTGGTCAAGTCCACAGAGTGAAATTCCATCAGCAATCCACTTCACATCATTTTCTTCACTGGACCAATTTTAATGAAGAGCTGGTCCTCTGAAAATGACATGGTTCCCAGACAAGAAAAAAAATGAGTACAGTCCAGGTCATTAGCCCATGATGAAGACTCTTCTGAGCTCCACTGCGGATGAGACGAGGGAGTGATCGATTCTACCTCTAGGTGTATGTGTGTTTTCTGGTACCTCACTGGATAAAGTGGGATTTCTCCAGGTGGATGAGGCAGAGAGAGGATCTTTGGAGAAAAACAGTATAGTCAATGGGAGACATGAAGGTTCTCTGGGACCTGGGAGCAGCTCATAGCAGAGAAGGTTCATTTAGGAACAGGGGGTGATGAGGTTGGAGAAGGATCTTATTTGCCATCTTGAGGGCTCTGAATGGATGTGTTTCTGAAAGCGATGGAAAGCTAAGAGAAAATGTAGGCAATGCAATATTGCAGTTCAATTTGATATGTAAGAATGAGTATTCTGTGTTGGCTCAGAGCAGTTAGGTGGCAATGGCGATAGCCCAGGTGAGAGATGACATGCCCTGTAATTACTAAGAGTGCTACTGTCCCACTTCACTGAGATCACAGTCTTACAAACCTGTATCTCATTTTCTTGTTCAGATTTCTAAAGGCATCATTGAATGCACTTAGGTCTTTGAGCAGAATTACTCTCTGAAGAGCTATGCCATCATTGTCAATCCAGTCCTACTTATTATAAAAAGCTCTTTAAAATAATCACGAGAGTTGTTAGCTTTTGCTGTAATCAGCTGTGTAAACACATAAGTCCTTCACATACTTACCACCTGGTCTGAGTACTTGTGTCTTTGATATAGGGGACTGCTTGCATACCAACATCTTTCTCAAGTTGTGTGAGGGTGAAATTCTTATCTGGGTAGGCCGTACATTCAATGTAGGCATCTTTAACACTGGAAGCATTCTGGTCACTGAATGAAACTGGTGCACCAAATTGACGTCGTTTACGTGAAATCATGTACGTGATCTACGACACACGGAAGCAACAAAGGGTAACGAAGTGCAGGAGACAGACAGATATATAGGAGGGCAATGTCAGCGCTCTATTCTTATGGACTCTTTGCCAAGTTTTTGTGTTCCCCTCAGTCTGCGCACACAGGCCACACCTGCTGCCTCTCTTTAGAAAGCTGCTCTAGGCCTCACACAGGTACAAAGAATCAGTAATGACTGACAGTTTATGTCTTGACCAGTGATGGCCTGCAGCAAGCACACAGGTCATTTCCTTGGGTTTGGTCAGGGACAGCTCAGTTGTGATTTACCCTGTAGGGTGGCTTTACTGGCTTCAGGCAGAAGCCCTAATTCTGTAGAAATTTTGTCAGATTGCACCTCCAAGAGCATGCTCCATGTCCCTGTCTGTGGTGCTTCATGATCTCTTCTTAGCCCTTTTTGTAATACATCATCTCTCACACACAAATCCTCCTCTCAGGAGTTGCTTTGGGAAGAAACATTGGTGGTTTTGCTTCTCAGGGTTGTTGCCATCACCAAGTGACATAAGCTGGCTGGCTTCAGACAGCAGGAATTCCTTCTCTCAGAGCTGTGGGATGGAGGTGTTGGAGGATGTTTCCTCTGGAGGGATTGGAGGGAGAGTCTGCTTGATTTTCTCCTAGCTCCAGGTTGGGGCCAGCAACCCCTGGCCTTCCTTGGCAGACACAATCCCTTTGATATCTGCCTCCTTCACAGGCACTCTCCCTGTGTCTCTCTCAGACACCTTCCTGTAATGAAATGAACTGTGGGTCCATCTTACTCTCAAATGACTTCTTTTTTTTTTCTGCTCACACCTGCAAAAACTTCATTTCCAAATAGGTTCACGTTCTAGGGCTTAGGAGAACTATGGGTTATGATTTCAATATACGTTTTCAGGAGTGACAAGATTCAACCCATTAATCCCTCAAACAATGACAGTCTTCTATAAAAAACAAAACCAAAAACATCTTCGTCACACACATACAAACATAACAGACTTCTGAGAAATAAAAGCTTAGTTACAGGGAAGTATTAATGGGAATCATAGTTAAACTGCTGACCCGCTTTGTAGATTCCTTAACTGATTCTTCCTCAATTTCTTTTTCACTGCCCAAAGAAACCCAAGGTTTAGAGACAGGTGGTTTATAAACATATATGTCTTCAGGAACAAGTTCTTTCAATTCTTCCTGTTCTTCAGGTACTTCTGGAAACTAAAAAAAATAAACAGCATTCTGAAAACTTTGGCCAAATTTAGGTTATAGCCTCATACTTGCATTTTGCAACAACTTTCATTCTTACATAAATTAATCAAGTACTTCTATTTGTACTTTTTATTAGTTCATTAGCAGTAAACTAAGCCCCAAAAAAGGAGGAATAAAGGATGAATAAAGAGGTATAAAGGATATAGAAAGAAGAAAAAAGAGACATAAATGGAAGAGGAAAACAGGAAAGATTAACACTAAGGAAAAAGGATTTTCTGAACATCTATATGAATAAGGAATGTTAAACTTGGGATAAAACATAGAACAATTTTCTCTGACTTAATGAAATATCCTTTAATAAGAGGATAAGCACAAATATATGATATTTATTAAATGTTTTTTAAAACCAACATGTCTATATGTGTTTATGTGTGTTTTTATGTATTCACTGTTGCTTTATATATAATAATGAAAAAATGGCTGTATTAAACCAGGGAGGGTCAGTAAGGGGATGGATTGATGACAGTGCAGAAGAATCATAAATAAAATCCCATAAGACAGTTTTAATGAACAGTTTACATATACATCATAGCTAGATGTGTCAAAATTTATGAAACCAATGATTTGATAATTCAATGAAAAACAAACTTTGAGAATAATCTGTATGAAATGATATAATTTCTATGTCAATTATGAACTAATAGAACTGCTTTAGAATAATGACCCCTTCCAGGGAGGAGCAAAGAAACAGGACTTAAGGAGCTTTCTATAGATTTAAATCTTCTGTAGATTTAAAAATATTTATTTCTATATAATAAAACACTAGAAAGTGGAAAAAACAACCACCAAAGTAAGACTGAAAATGTTAAGCCAAAATATAAGATTATTTTTAACTACAGACTATAGATATTTTAAAATAGCACAACTTTCCTGCATTTCCCTTGATTACTGGACAAACATGCAAAGCAACCCATCTCTCCTGATCTCCCAAACAACCTGACCACATGAGAACGTCAGAGAGGAGAGTGAGGCTCATCAGTCTGTTGAGTTTTTCTCCATCATTTTATCCCACTGATCCTCACGGCAGCCCTGAAAAAGCATGTCACGGGTGCCACTGTTTTTGCTGATAAGAAGCCGGGTGACTGAACTAAAGACAAGGAGAAAGCGAGAAGGCAGGCAGAGAATTGGCTGAGTGCCATGGGACTCGAGACCTGCTTCCTCTTTCCCAGGACCAATGAAGCACAAGTGAGTAGAGTACGCACTACCCCGAGATGTTTGTCTTAGTTTACCCCACATTCACTGCTCACCTACCATAGGGGCCAGAACCTGATCTGGGTCCCAGGAAACATAGTTGAAAAGAATAATACCAAGGTTAGGGGTCCCCCACAGGTTTTTGGTCCTTCCGACAAAGCACAGATGGCAAGGGCTGGGGTTCGCTTACATTTAAATAGTTTTCTTTGCCTTCTTCAGTGCCAATAAGGTAAAAATTAAGTCCATATTTGAAGTCTTTGTCATAAACGAGCAGCATCTCATTACCAGGATATTCCTACAAGAATATAATTCAAAGAGAAGGTAAATGTTCAAGGGTCATTCAATTTACATAGCATTGACACAAAACAAACATTTCTCGAATCCACCAACACAAAAGAGAACCATAGAGTCCATCCATGATTGACAACAAAAGATTGCAAAAATTCTTTGAAAAGCTCTTAAAAACACAAGGTATTCAGAGAAATTTACCATTTGTAACTCTAAAAGGCAAAATGACATATTTTGGTAGGGGTGGGGGTTGGGGTTGTCAACAAATCAGAGCCAAAAGTAAACAGTTAAAGCAATATAAGAAAAGCATAGTATATTCCTCCTCTCATAAAAACTGGGAAAAGATGAGCTTTTCTGGGCATGGGTGAAGATGACTGGTCACTGCTGCAGCTTTGCTTTCCACAGAGGATCACTACAAAGGATTCTGGGGCAAGTGTGGGCATGTCAGCATTATCTGAAGTAATAATGGAGAATAGCAGATTTGAAACTCTTCAAGTCAGCTTTTTAGGTGCCAGGAACTTCTTCTCATAGGTCAGAGGATGCAGTTCTTACCCGCACAAGTTTCTTGACTGGGTGGAAGTCAGACACAGCAGCTCTGTTCTGCAAGTCCTCCAAAATGTCTTCCTTTTTGATCAGCTTATAAGGTGTTTCCTCGGTGACATCTTCATCTATTCTGCAGTTAAATATTTCCTGGGTTTTGGTAGTCAATACTAAAGGATAAATTTCCGGATGACCTAGGAAAGTCAAAGTAGAGTTTGGACATTAGATATAACCACTTCAAAGGTATGCACCAGGGAATTTGTTTTCTTGTAATAATTCTTTTGAATCAAAAGTCATTATTCTCATATTTAAAATACTTCATCACAAAAATGCCAAAAGAAGGAAATATCAATGGCATCTAAGACTATCCCTTGAGAAGAACACTTCAATATTTTCCTCTAGTTTCTCTATATATACTTATATATACTCCATATACTCTAAACCCTGCTTTTACTGCTGATATTTATGTCCTAAGTCTTTCAATTTGGCAACAAACAATCTTTCTACAATATCCTTTTATTTTCACTTAATTCTGTAGCATGACTTCAAACCATGTCCATCCTCGTAAGCAAAAAACAAAAATTTTTACCATTTCTTGTCAATTATTATAAACAACCCTGCGAACAGATATTCCACTTATACAGTTTTCTTATCTTTACAATTATTATATTGGGGTAGACTTTAACATTGTAATTGTAACAGTGTAAATGTAACTGTTGATTCATATTGCACCAGACCCCAAAAACCAGTAAGTGGAGATGGTAGGAAAGAACAGAGAGCCTTCTGACATCCAAGAAACTGGAAAGACGTGACTAAGATTGTTCCATGTTGCCCAGCAAATACACACTCCAAATTCTATGTGGCTGATATTTTTTTTCACAGAAATCTTTCTACCACAGAGATTGGGTTCCTTCAAGGCATAGGATCCAACAATCTGCTTTCCACAAGTCAGGTAGACCTGCAGACTGTGTCTAGCCAGGGTTAGCAATCTATAACAACTGCAGGTAGTTGGAAGCCAATACACCACACAAGATACTGCCAATCTTCACGCTCTGCAGCACAATGGCCAAACCAGACAAAGCAAAGCCTGATGTATCTGGCCACTTCCTACAGTCTCTCTTGAAATGCTATTGTTTAGGCTTCAAGGCACACACTAAGGACAGCATCCCAGGTGACAGCAAAGAGGCTTTGGTGGTTGATAAACATGGGTTTGGCCGAGCCTTGGGCAGAGTGGGGCATTGGTTGAGATGAGAATAGTGTTGGAGCAGAGGAGGTAGCCACTGGGACTTCCGAAGCTGGCTAACTTCAGGACCATCTGTCGTAAGGACTTTTGCTGTGGAGGTGTGGGGACACGAGGCCAGCACAGGCCTCAGGCATAGCCATGTATGTGAATGACAGGCATGTTAAATATAGTAATGTCTGTGGAATACTGGTTCTAATTAGCCTCACAACAACCTTCTGAGGTGGTTACTGTAACTGTTTCCATTTTTAGTGGAACAAACCCCAGTCCATGTGGTTCATGCAACATGTCCAGACTAGTGGGCAGGAATTGGAGCTGGGGTCCACCCCTGGGTCTGAACTCTGCTTAGTAAGTGAACACAGAGGAGCCCGACTACACATGATCAGAGCAGGATCAGAGTGACACTGCACAGTAGGCAGAGAAGGGCATTTATTCCCCTTACAGTCTGAGGGAGCAGACCCCAAAGGTAGGCTGCCAGCTGTAAACAGTTCATGGCGTGGGTCTTATTATGTGCACAAGACAGAGGGTTACACAACACAAATAACAGGTTGTCATTCCTTGCCCTGCATGTTGAAACAATCAATTAACCCCATATATTGTATCTGAACTTAAAAAATGTTGTTACTATCTAGCTTGCACTCAAAAGTTTTATTAGATGTAAACTGCAAAAAAATAAAATGTAAAATTTGATACATATATTTATCATTCAAGATAAGAAACAAACACATCCATAAGCCACAAAGTTTCCTCTTGTCCCCTTCCTCCCAGCATGCTCCATCAACCCAGAGGAAATCACTGCTCTACTTCAGGTCAACATGGACTAGTTTGCTTTTTCTGGGGAATGTTTAGATGCTGTTAATGGTATTTGCCCATTTTATTATTTTGAGAATAATCCATGTTGCTGCACATAGTAACAGTTCATTTTTTTAAACTGCTCACTAGAATTCCATAAAACAAAAAAATTAATATTACCAAGAATGCTTCTTAAATTCTCAATATTTTTAGAAGATTTATGGTTTTGGGTATTGTGCCTACGAAACTCTAGACTAACCACGGGTCACAGATATTTTCCGCTGCAAAATGTTTTAAAATAAAATTTTATTTTATAATTAGCTGTTTTAAGCTACTTTTTGTGTTGCATGGTACGGATTGATGTTCATATTTTTGCACATAAATATCCAATTGTTCCAATTTCATTTGTTGAAAATTCCATCTTTTTTCACTGAATTGCATTTGCACTTATGAAAACCAATTGACCATATATATGTGTGTGGGCCTATTTTTGGTCTCAATTCTCATTCATGGATCTAGGTTTCTGTAATACTATTTTATACTCAAAACAGCTAACATGAAGCACCTTCTGACAGTTTTATGTAAGGAAATGTGCATGTACTATCCAATTTGACGTCCACAACAATCTTATGAGGTAGGCATCTATCTTGTTTTCCAGAGGAAGAGGCAGAGTCAGAGGTGAAGTCATTTGTGGCTGTAGTTCTTAAGTGACAGAATTATCATTTGAATCCTATCTATCCAGCTCCAGTGTCTATGTTATTAACCACTGTGGTTAGAGAATGATAACGTCCACAGAGAGGTCCATGTGCTGATCCTGGATCCATGAGGAGATCCCCTTCTGACAGCAAGTTTGCAGATGTGACTGAGAGTTTTAGATGGGGAGATGACTTGGATCCTGAGTAGTGTGGTAATAAGGGGTTTTGGGAGAGGAGGTGCAAAGATCAAAGCTAAGGAAGAAGTTCTGACAAGGAAATAAGAAAGCAAAAGGGGAGAAAAAGGAGCAGACAGCACTGCTGGCTTTGAAGATAGAGGAAGGTGCCACAGTCGATAAAATCAGGTGGCCTCTAGAAGCTGGCAAAGGCTGAAAGCATTGGAACAGCCAGCTCTGCTGTTGGTTTGTGTGCTGGATCCCTCCTCAGGGCTGGTCTGAGTTCTGGCTGCACTGCTTTCAATCCAGCTCTCTGCTAATGAGGCTGAGAAGGCAATGAAAGACAGTCCAAGCGCATGCACAAGCTCCTCCTACCACACTGGGGGACCTGGAAAGAGTTCCAGGTTTCGTCCAGCCCTGGCTGTTGTGGCCATTTGGAATGTGAACCAGCCAATGGAAGATTTCTCTCTTTTATTCTGCATTTCAAATAAATAGACATTTAAAACTAAATTATCTTTTCTACTTATTTTAAATCCTTTCTTTAAAATTTGTCTTTTCATTTTCTATATGACACTATGTAATTTTAACCATTGTGCATTTTTGATTAATCATTTCAATTTGTAGTGTTCTTGCTTAGTTAATTGTATATATTTTTTGTTTTTAAAATTGTTTCTGTTATTTTTCTTTTTAAAATTTTTTTTTGTTATTTTTCATGATATGGTTTTGCAGGTATAGGGATTAAAATATTACAATATTACTACTGTAGTACTAGGGATATAACTACTAAATTGTGCCTCTACTTACCCATGCTCTCCATATTCACTGGTTCCTCTTCTTCATGAACTAGAATATAATAAATTAATATCAAATTTATATTTTGAATCAATTATATACATTAGTATACTATAATCCGTAAATAAACTTCAATATACAAAACACAAATGCAAATGTGCAATGAAGCATTAAACTATCTCAGGGAAAACTAAACAGGTCATATATAAACAAGTGACTTTCTCACAGTTATTTGCCAGTCATGGGTGTGCTACATCATTCATTTTGTGGTGTTTACCACACTGAAATGAATCAAAAGTATAAAGCTCATCTAGTTAATATATTTAAGATATTTTATTTGATACATGAAATCATGATTATTTTGACTGCAAGTATTGGGCTAAAAAAATCCCACTGAATGAAGAAAATCATCTTACCCGTTAAGATTTGTTTGCGTCGTTTGCCCTGTAACTTTTTTTTGCCACCTGGGCTCTTCTGTGGAGATTTGGGAGCCATGGTTTTGACTTAGGCTGTATAAAGAGGTAAAACATCATTAGGAAATTCTGGTTCATGGTTCTGAATAGTAAGCATCATCACTCAGTAAACAGAAGATTATACATTTACAGTAGAATGAGTCTCAGGGCAGGGGGTTGGGGGAGCCATTCAGCTGAGGCATGAGCTGGTGACCTGCCAGGATGTCAAGCTTTCAAAGCCCCTGTCGGAGAAGCACAATAGAGACTGCTGGCTCTCTCAATGCAGGTCCTGCTCAAAGCCTTTGCTCTCTGATATCCTGTGCTGGGCTCCTAAACAGGTGCTTACCATCCACAGAATTTTTACAGTAATATATTTGCTGTGTTAATATCTTAACATGTGAAGCTGTAACCTGTAAGGTTTTATTTGTGCTGTCAGAAAATGTTGTTGAAAAGTATCCATTGGAATTCCTTATTAGTTTTGAGTATGTATGTATGTATGCAGAACACTGGTCAAAGCCATCACCACGACCTCAAATGTTTGTCATCTCCAATGGGGTCATTCTTTGACCCATGTCATTAAATGGTATAACAACAAGTTTTAAAAACAGGTTCTTTTCTTAAGCAGCTGGATGACCCTGGGCAAATAACCAACCTTCTCTAAATTTCTGTTCATCTGTTTCATGGGTTGAGAATAAAATCAACTTCACAATGTGGTTGTCTTATGAAATTATACCACATAATTCAAAATTCAAAATAAAAATATATTCAAAAAAAAAAAAAAAACCAATGTGGTTGTGAGGACTTCCTGAAACAAAGCTTCATCATGAGCAACTTATCTCAGAACTGCTTTGCCTCACTTAAATTAACAATGAGTGAATATTATTTTGTAGGCCAAGCTCAAAAGAGCATGAGCTTCATACTAGCTCCCCTAATCACAAGATCTTGACCAAATAGGTATGGATGTCTACTGGTTTGCATATAGAAGTTTTCCCTTTCAAATTGTTTTCATATATATTGCTTTACAATGGTAGATGTGTTTACAAAGGTGACAAGCTTGCCTTGTGACAACCACAGTTTGAAGCATTTTAAAAATATACTTCTAAGTTAATTACAAACATACTTTATTATTTTTGTTACCTTCATCCCTTTTTGTGATGAGAATGCAAATTCCCAAAGCAGCCAAGAGACTTTGCTGGAGACAAGAGGGTGGGAATGCCGGGATGGGGCTGGGGGCTGCAGGTCATTCTAGCTCCAGGGCTACATTGTCAACCTCAGGATGAGACAGGCCCTCTGATCTCTTTGATAACTGTCCTCTTGTTTAATTCAAAATGTAGCTACTTAAAAAAAAATAATTGTTTGGACTCTGGGTATGAGAATACTTCAAAGAGTTTGTGGAAATGGACTAAACATATGCTTATTTTGATGCAAAACTATTTGAAATCCATATTTCAGTAAAAGGCATATTATGAAAAACTGTCAGATTTTTTTTTCTTTTCTGCAGGAAAATAACACTCTCTTTTCTTTTAACTCTGTTTTTCCTTGAATCTTTGGAAGTGCCCTGTGGTTTGTACTATAGTAGGTGCTAGTTTTGCTGATGACACAGATTTGCACCTAAGAGAAAGGAAGGGATGAAGGGCGACTACAGTAAAGTCTGCATGAGGAATGGAAAGCCTGGGATTATTATTTAGAGAAATGGGCATACTGTGGGAGGAGCAGATCAGGAGTGCAATTTGGGACATCTGAAGTCACATCTTAAGCCTGACTGTAAACGCTGTGAGATGGGGATTGTGTTTTCTGCACCATTGTGGCAATTCTTGTGATTATTCTGTTAATCTGTCTATGATTTATCAGTCAGACCTCTTACAGCTTGCATACCACTTATTTCATGGGCTTTTGCCGAGTGACCCGTGGAATAAGTGGCACGCAAGCTGTAATAGTATTCCCTTGCTGCTGTCACAAACGGAAACTTAAAACAACTTAATACAGCTTTACTGTCTTCCATCTCTGTAATTCAGAAGTCTGACTTGGGTCTCACTGTGCTGGCATTAAGCAGTCAGTGTGGTTATTATGTTATTTTTTTCTGGAGGTTTCTGGAGCTTCCTGGAGCTCTAAGGGAGAAGTTGCCCCCACCTTTCCCAGTTTCTAGGGACCATTAACATTTTTTTAGTTCAAGTTCCCTTCCTGTAAATTTACAGCCGGCAAGAATGGCTTACCTTCTTCTACACAGGATGATCTGGTCTGCTTTCCTCTTTCACTTTCAGATGTACATGTGACTACAGTAGGCCTACCAAATGATCCAGGATCATCTTAGTCTTTTTGTTATTTATTTGAAAGGCTGAGTCTTTATCTTTTTCTCACACACAAACACACACACACAGGAGTACAGAAAGAAAGAAAGAGAGAGAGAGAGAGAGAGAGAGAGAGAGAGAATATGAAGAGAGAATAAATATATCTGCTGATTTACTCCCCAGATATTGATATTAGCTGGTGTTGGGTCACTCCAAAGCCAGGGGCCTCAATTTACATGCAGGTCCACCCAACACGAGTGGCAGGGACCCAAGTACATAGACCATCTTCTACTACTTTTCCAGGTGCATTAACAGAAAACTGGACAGGAAGCAGAGTAGCCAGTCTAGCCTGGCATTCTAATAAGAGACGCAGGAGTCTCACCTGGCAACCGAAGCTGCTATAACACAACACCCAACATGAGGTGACTAGCAACCTTATTTTGGTCTGTGGCCTTAATCTCTCTCTGCCATGTACTCTAATATATTAATAGTTTCCAGGTATGTGTTGGGCTCCTTAGCATTTTGCTTGAATATAAGTATTCATTTAATACAACTATCCCTCAAACCAGTCCAAGTAAATATGCACCTAGATCTTTTTCAAATACTGCTATTAAATTATCTGTGAATAATTTTGTAGACTTTGATTTTCTTTTATTTTATTTTTACTTATTTTAAAATTATTATCATCATTCTATGATATGACTTTCTGATTTTCAAGGGAATTAAAGACAGTTTTCCAATAGTAAGTTAGGGGACCAAACTAGAACACACAGAGGGTATATGCTGCTTTACCAGCTCCTCTACTTTCACAATTACTAATTAACTCTGATTCGAAATTATTGACTATTGACTGAGGGCAAAAAAAGACCTGATTGCCTCATGGGCCTTTACAGGTTCTAAGCTCTCTTAATTAGAAAGCATAACATCTAAGTTGCTAAGCATCACAGGTAGAAAAATTCATTAGTGGAGATCAGATGGGATAACATCCAAGGAAATGATTACTTTGAGACTAGCCACCTTATACTGTATTAGTGTTTGAGGCAAAGCTTTTTAATTTATCTTAGTAATTTCAAATAATAAACCCTACTAACATAATGTATAGAAAACACAACACTTTAATGTTATGGAGGCATCTAAAGCAAACAAATAATGTAATCTCCATGATTTCAATAAATAAAGTTATTCAAGTTGCACTTTTCAATTTCTACTTTTCTTTTAATCCTAAAGATGTTGTCTGGCAATTATTGCTGGATCTATGAAAATTTTCACATAGTGAATATGCTACTTTTTCCAAAATTTATTCTTTCCATTAAAATGATTTTTAAAAAATATTTATTTAAAAGGTAGAGTCAGAGAGAGATCATCTATCTTCTGGTTCACTCACCAAACAGCTGCAACAGCTGGGGTTGGGTCGAGCTGAAGCCAGGAGCAAGGACCTTCCTGAGTAAGAGTCTCAAGGACTCGGCCTTCTCCAACTTCCCTTCCAGGCACACTAGCAGGGAACTGAATGGGAAATGAAGCTTTGCATGCTGTGGCTTAACCACAGCATTGGTTAATCACATGTACCACAACATTGGTCCCTCCATTAAATTGATTTTTACAAATTGATTACTTACTTGAAAGGTAGAGAGACACAAATCTACTATCTGCTGCTTCATTCCTCAAATGTCTGCAGCAGTTGGGGCTAGGCCAGGAAGAAGTCGAGCCTGGGAACTCCATCCACATCTTCCATGTATTTAGCAGGTACCCTGATTCTTGAGCCATCACCTCCTGCTGCTGAGGTGTATCTTATCAGGAGCAGAACTGGGACTCAGACCCAGGCATTTGCATATGGGTTGCAGGCATCCCATGGGTTGGTTTAGCCACGAGGCCAAATGTCCAATTTGGCTGGCAGTTAAGACACCAGTTAAGATGCTAATTCAGACCTGGCAGGTAGTAGGTGATGGCTGAAATAGTTGGGGCCCTGCCACCTACATGGGAGATTTGTATCGTGTCTTTAGCCCAGCCTAGTCTTAGCCATTTTGACAATCTGGGACTGATAGAAACTTTCTCTCAAATAATTTTTTTCCAACAAATTGTGAAAAAAAGTAATAACATGCTACTTAAGTAAGGTTACTTTTAATGCCCATTTTTCCTGCTCCCAACTGATATCAATTCATAATTAAGAACAGAAAATATATTTCACTGGCTCCTAAGTTACAGGTTGTTAGCTTTTTTTCACAAACCCTAGACAGAGACACAAGTAAGCCACACAAGAAGTCTTTATTTCGGGAAGGGTGGCAGTGTGTGGGTAGGGAGTAAGTGAGAGCAGTGGGAGGCGGTTGGGGAGAGAGAGAAAGCAAAGCAAAGGACGAAAAGAAGAGCAGAGAGACAGAGAACAGGAGGAAAGGAGAGAGAGAGAGAACAAATGGCAGAGGCATCTTTATAGTTTCGGGGTGGGTGTGGGGAGTGCCAGCTCAGGGACTGGCAGATGCAGCAGTAAGTGGAAACCAAGGATACCTGCCTCAAGGGATTGGTGGAGCTCACAGTTTAAACCTAAAGGTCACTAAGCTTAATGAGGCAAGGGGGTCGAGATCTAGGAGGTTTATGGTAGTGCTGGGTAACCAGGTATTTAAGAGGACTGAGACCTAGAGCATTTAAGGCAGTACTGGGTAAGCAGGCATTCAAGGTGGCACTGAGTCCAAGGTGGTAGAGTCAGTCATGGGGACACTGTTTGAGACACTCCTTACACAAGTTATTCTTAATCCACTAGCTTGTGTAACAATTAATATTCAAAGCACCAGAATTGATTGCATTTCAAACAGAAATAGTGGAAGGTAGCATTTGGAAATCTTTAACTACTTCATTAAACATATTTTTCTATTAAGATCACTTATTTATTTTGTAAATTAATTCAGCCAGTCTAGAATCCTTTTGTGCCACTGATTTATGAAAGGTTACCTTTTTCTTACTTCCACATTAGCAGCAAGACATGGGAGGCTGACTGAAATGGGCATGGAAAGTTCTCTCTAAAAGAAACATTGCATGCATGGCCATTCACGCCCTGTCTCCAAACTCTCTAGATTGGTCTTGACTGTGACTTTTAATGGTGCTTCTGTTACATGGCAGGATGTACTAGTTTGTTTTCTTTTGCTACAACAAAATGCTAGCAAAGTTTAAAAAATGGAGACGTACTTAGCTCCTGGTTTTGGGGGTGCTGAAACTGAAGATCAGTAGAGTCTCTGTATAGTCTCTAGGGATGTCTTTTGCTGCTGGAGTGTGTGTGGAAGAGATCACGTGGTAGAGACAGGACACAGAGGGATTCAAGTACCTGGTTTGCTCTTTTTATAACAAATTGCTTAGGGTTCCTGAGAGAATTACATGAATTCCATCAGGGGATAATGCCCCAAGTGGCCCATCACCTTCTATTAGGCCTAGTCTCTTACAGGTTCCATCATTTCAATATCATCTTACCAGGGATCATGCTTCTGAGAATGCGTCCAAATCATAGCCAACTCACAGCAGAGGAAAATGACCATGGAAAAAGAGATGCTACTTATTATTAATGACTTCACCAATACTTATTTTTGCCTGCCTCCAAAGTCAATACTACTGTGATTTAAATAGCTGTTGGCCTCCTCCTTCACTTTATTCAGCTGTAATTCACATACCTGTTTATATGCTGCCTTTTGTTGCCTGTACCTATGTGTGATTAATTCCAGCCACGAGATCTTAATTCTGAAAAGATGCTCTCTCTTGACCTTGGATCATCCCTCCTAAGTCTTCTTCATTTAGCTGACCTTGGCTAAGTTATCACCCTCCTCTCTTTCCTAAGCGTTCACAAACTCATTATGCTTGTCTCTCATCTTTTTTCCCCTTAAGACATAGATTTAGAATAAAATTCAAGACTAATATTTTAGTTATCCAGCAAACATATCTTGAGGAACTGTTGTTTCTCAGTATATCTCTCATAGGAGTCTCATAGGTTTCAAGACTCCTGAAACCTTCACTTTTCTGACAGGAACATAAAAACACACCCCACAAGACAACCATTGCTACAATGTCTCTCCTCCTTCCTACTGAACATCCACATCTTTTCAAAATTTGATGCTTATTCATTTAAGCAGCTGTTATTCTTTCACAGCTTTCTGTGTCTCCTGAATTCTAACCCTACCATCTCTTAACGTCTGAATCAGGCCTTACAATCAAAGTTCATAAGCTACCTTGGGTAGCAAGCTCTGGGAACCCACATGGGTGTTGGCTTGTATCCCAGCAGCTCCACTTTCCATCCAGCTCCCTGCTTGTGGCCTGGGAAAGCAATGAAGGAAGGCTCAATGCTTTGGGACCCTGCACCCACATGGAGACCCTGAAGAAGTTCCTGGCTCCTGGCCTCAGATCAGCTCAGCTCAAGTAGCTGCGGCCATTTGGGGAGTGAACCAGCGGATGGAAGATCTTTGTCTCTGTCTCTCCTTCACTCCATGGATTTACCTTTTCAATAAAAATAAAAAGATCTTTTTTTTTTTTTTAAAGCACTATCTATTAGGTACTCTTGCACTATGGTCTGCAGACAAGAATTTGTAGACCAGGATAAAGTTTCAGCTCATAAGCATGGTTTTCAACACTGTTCACAGGTTCCTTCAGCAAAGCCGCCATCTGGGTTCTATGGCCGCCTCACAGGGCTACTGTCCATTCTTAAGCAATCCAGTACTTATCCCTCTCCTCATTTAGAGAATCTCCTTCCCTACCATCTCTCCAGCCCCACACCACACATGCTTCATTTTGTTTGCTTAAATCTTACTCATCTTTCAAGGTGCAACTTCAACATGACTTTCTCTCCGAAGCTTCCCATACTCTCTCACCCAAGCTAAAATGATCTTGTCCTCCCTGACAAATTCCAACCACAATGTGTATAAGTTAATTATGCCAGAACCTCTGCCAGGGCAAATGGCCTCGGACTCAGGGCTGCCTGAAAGATGGCTGTACGTTTACTCAGAAGTAGCATATATCTATGTTAGAGGAATAAATCAAATTCCTTACTTTCAGAGTTTTTCATATAATCTTTCATAATCTTTCTTATAGTTTGAGATGTTCACTTATTTTTATTTATTTGAAAGTGAACAGGAGAGAGAGAGAGGGAGGGAGACAGAGGAGAGGAGAGGGGAGAGGAGGGGAGGGGAGGGGAGGGGAGGGAGGGGAGGGGAGGGGAGAGAAGAGGGAGGGGAGGGAGGGAGGGGAGGGAGAGAGGGGAGGGAGGGGAGGGGAGGGGAGGGAGGGGAGGGGAGGAGGGGAGGGGAGGGAGGGAGGGGAGGGGAGGGGAGGGGAGGGGAGGGGAGGGGAGAGTCTTTGACCTGCCGTTCAGTCTCCCAGTGCCCACAGCAGCCAGGACTGGACTAAGCTGTAACCTGAAGCTGGAACTTCATCTGGGTTTTCCCAGGGACCCAAATACTTGAGCCATTATGTGTTGCAGCCCAGGATGCACATTAGCAGGAAGCTGGATGGGTACTGCCATTTGAGATTCAGGCTTTCAAAACAGCAGTTTACCTTACTGCCTCCACCACTTTCTTAACTATTCTGATGTCAACCCGTATTATTCTGTTTTCTGATTCCCTGTACTGATGAATAGCCAGGATAAGGTCGCTTTTCATGAATTTTTCATTCAGGACTTATTGAGCTTCAGCCATGTGCCAAGCAACGTGATAGAAATGTACAACATGTTCATTAGCAGGACACAGCGTCGGTTCTTAAACTGTCATTTCCTTAGCTGCTTTCTCACTATTTTGTCTCTTTAGGTAGGGTAGAGGCTTGGAAAGCCTTATGTTTTTTTCGTCATCTTCACGGCAACTGGCACATCGACGGCTCTGAAGGTCTTTCAGAGTGAGAAATTACTAAATTGTTCCCCACATCTTTTTTCCCATTCAATTTCCCTTACCTGATAGTGATAAACTGCAGTACCCAGGAGAAAACTCCTTCGAGAGCAGGAGAGGAGCGTCTGACACTCCTTCGGAAAAACAAAACGCTAACTGCATAAACCGCTGTTCCTCAGCGGCTGTTGCTAGGACGCATCCGTTGCTGAGAAAAAAGAGGCGAAGCCTCTGCTGAGATTGACAAAGCATTACCACCAATAGGGAGCCTGCTCCCTGAAAGTCTCTTTCTTAGAAGGCTTTTGATTGCTTGCCATGCGGTGACGTCATCCAACATGAACTTGGCGTGAGCAGCCAGCTCCCTCCGGAGGAGAGATTTTAGCAAACCGAGCGTGTTCATGGTGATGGCGTTTCCCCAGCTGACAGGTTCGGCTATTCGGTCGCACCAGGGCATCCCTACCTCCTTCCGGAGTGTGCCTGCAGACTGCTGCTCAAATCCCCTGGGGACAGTACGCCTGTCGATCGCTCTTCTAGGAACCTGCGAGGAAATCAGGTTCCACTGAGTATCGCGGGCATCCTGGGGCTGCTTATGTGTTATATTTAACGTTTGCCAAGACTGATTTTATAAGGAGCTGGACTCAGAAACTGAAGTGTGGCCTCAAGAAAAGAAGTTTGACTCCTTGTAGCACAAGAAATCTTTTTAATCTATGATAATGGTCCCTGTGGGATCCATAGAGGGAAGCTCTGAGCAGTTGCCCGTTTTCTTTATATTACAGTATATATATAATTTGTAAACTGGCAGGATTTAAGCAAGGAATTGCAATGCATTTCAGTAAATTCTCTGATTTAATGTACTACAACCAATTTAAATAAAATATAAAGAGATTTGCAGAGATTTAGAACAAATGAGAACCCATAATCTTCACTGAAGATAAGAATGATGTCATGTGCAGTGGGATCGTGTATATTCCTTCAAATTTCTGAAAAATTTATGAGTGCAAAAGTCAAGTACATTTCGCTTTTGAGAACATCATATCAATTTTCTGCCTGTAATTTCAAGTATTACCTCTGAACACTTCGGTGACTTGCATTTCTGTAGCCTCAGTCTAACCTAGCCCTTAAACACCAGTCCTGAATTTCCCCTAGTCATTTTCCATGTTCAGTTTCCTGTCTAGGTCACTGCTGTGTGTCAGATAGTCACAGCAGATATTGGATGCATGAACTATGGGAACACAGGTACCACAATTTAGCAGAAACAAATTCAATTCATCCTTCAGATGACTTTCTAGGTATGTTTCATGAAAGTTTCTTCCTCCTTTATTTCTGTCTTCAGAAATAATATCACTGTCCATCAGTTTGCAAAACTAGAAATGTGACTCCACTCCTGCTACTCACAGTGGAAATATCACTAAGTTCTGTTATTTTTCTTTTCTAAGTAGCTAAAATAATCCATCTCCACTTGGCCATCTGTTAGGGATTGAACTGAATTTGGCATCACAAACTCCTACAGACTTTGAAATCTGGAAGCCTTGAGTTAATGGCTGGTGGATTAAGGGCAGGAGAGTTTATCTAATTTAGGCCTCTGCTAGGTGGGCCTCATGGAAGTCTTTAGGTGACAGGAGGCTTATCCACAGAAACGAAGTTCTTGGAAGAGAGCTGAGTGTAGAATCCAAGTGTGCCTCTGGTGTCTTTCCTGGCTCACTATGATTCTTTCTGTGCATGTACACATTGTCAGCCTCCACTAGATAGTACTCATTCTTGAACTGTGAATCTCCAAAGTGTAAGCCAGATGGAAGACCTTTCTCTCTGCATCTTCTCCTCTCTGTTGATCTGCCTTTCCAACAAAAATAAATACATCTTTGAAAATAAAATTTAAAAAGAAAATGTTGAAAATTATTCTTAACTAAAATTGATTTAAAATTGAATAAATGCAAAGAAACTCCAGACAAGTATAGGCTGCTCATTTTATGGTTTTTCAAAGCCTCTGCCACACTACCACCCAGGTCCTGGAACCTGTGTGTCCTAGGCTGGAGCCAGAGCTCTGCTGACACAGGGCTCCTGATGGCTCCTAAATACGTCAGACCCTTTCAACAATCCTGGCTGACTCACAGCCTCCACTTCTACCACTATCCCAACCTGAATTTCCCACTTATTTCTGATTAAGACCCAACTAAATATCACCTTCTCAGTAAAGCCATACAAGCACAGATGGAATTAGTCACTCTTCCCTCTGCTTCCTCCTTATAGAAAATAACACATTGTACCACATGGCTTGTTTACATGGATGTCGCTTTAGACTCATGGCAGGAGTGATGTCTTGTTTCTTTATATATAAAGAAGCAGCCATGTAACTGACTATTTATGAAAACACATCATTTCAGAACTCTCTGGTAAAAGCCTCTTTGTACTCCTCCAAAGCTTGCTTTCTTTCTTTTTTTTTAAGTTTCTGTTTTTCAGTCAAATTTAAGGAAGTAAGGATTATAACTTGTGCTTTGAAGGAGACACCAAGCCCTTCTGTCAGCTTTTCTTCTGAGAGACACCCCAAGGGGATGCTCCTTTGAAGGAATGATTCATAAGTCACAATACAAGAGAGAAATTCAATGCTAAATGTTTAGCAATTTGTTCATGTTATGAATTTGTTACTGACCTTCTGTTTTTTCATGGAAGGAGATTAAAAAAAATGAAAGATTGCTGTTGTGACTGATAGACATGTGTTCTATGGGGAAGCTGAATTAAGTTGGCCTAAAATATCGAAATATTTAAAAATAGGTTTTAGGTAAATTAGTTGAGTGGAAATGTAGAGTCATAAGCTGAAAATTATTTTCTGATTATTCAATGGCATGTTGATAATTTTCTTTTTGGATTTGCAAAAAATAATCTAATTAGCTAAGGGGTATACTTTTACTCATTATTTTGGTGACTTTCCTATTCCTTTTATGGAAATATTATGAGTTAGCTCAGACTCTACAGGTGGAGTTCTGGAATAGATGATCGATTTTGCCATGTGCATCAGGATGCTTGGGAAGGAGCAAAGGTAGGCACCCTTGTTTGAGCCCCCTCCTGCTGTGGGTACTGTGGGTGCTCAAGGTGCTGGGGGAATCAACTAGCACCTTGTGCTTGAGGAATTAGTGAACATCTCAGAAACATACTCAGCTTCAGAAACAGGGTAACCTGACATCAGGGCCTGGCCTGGGAACAGAGCATGAGTACTGAAGGAAAAGATCAGTGTTGATAATTCTAGAAAAAAACAGAATAAAATGTCAGTAAAATTTGAATATGTACAGTACTGAAGTGTGGGAGAAAGGCATAGTTATTACTTCTGCAGAGAGCAGATTGAGTTTTGGGGGAACTAAGGAGAACCTAGGTTCATCAGGCACCTGAACCACTGGCCCTTCCCACTAGGGAAGATAGTGCCCTATAGCTGACTTGCAAGCTGTGAGAAGTTGATCTCCCCAGGTAGGCTGATGCATGGGCTCAGGAGAAACACTGGGACTCTGTGGTAGCAGGGCAGATTCCTCCGTGAGCATAAGGCTCCACTCCCTATACGAAGGAACAGCTGGTGGTGGGGGAGTCTTTGTAATGGTGGGGATGGCCCTACAATATAAGCAGACATCAGGAACGAGAGAGCCAGTTTTGCAGGTGCAATGGTGACTACCAATGGCACTGCAGATTTTTCTTTCTTAACTGGAAACATTCAAACAATACTGTACTTAAAACAAGAGTTGAAGTCTAAGTTTGCCACTTTATTGGCAAGTGGCATCAGGCAAGCTAATAAACTCTGTAAATCTCATTCTTATCTGCAAAAATTGAGCTGATAACACTTTCCCCGAGCCAAGTTGGGCAAGGATTGAGAGTGACAACATAGCTGTCATAAAATTTAGTATCTTCATGATATTCAGTTGACATAGTGCATTGAAAACAGTTTGTCAGCTCAGATTTCTACAGGAAGATTTTTCATATAGCAAGAGAACAATAAGTTCATTCTTTCCTCAATCAAGTATGATCTAATTTTTTAAAAACTATATGAGGGTACAAATTATGATATTCAACCACAAGGCAGTACTCCTATCCTTAAACTGAGCCAGCTTCAATATCTAAATTTTGAGGAGTTTGGTATATTCCTCCAAAGTTTCCCAGTTTGTGATACCTTGTGTAAGAAGTTATTTCCAAGACTGGTGCTGTGGTATAGTAGATGAAACTACTGCCTGTGATGCTGGCATCCCATATGGATGCCAATTTGAATTATTGTTGCTCTACTTTCAATCCATCTTCCTGCTAATTGCCTGGGAAAGCAGCAAAGGATGGCCCAAGTTATTGAACCTCTCTGCCCATGTGGGAGGCCTGAAAAAGCTCCTGGCTTTGGTCTGGCCCAGCCTTGGCTGTTACAGCCATTTGGGGAATGAAGCAGTGGATAAAAGATCTCTGCCTATCCTTCTCTCTATAATTCTAATTTGTATGTCTATTCACCTAAGAAAAAGTGAGTATTAGCATGAAGGAAGACCAAATTATTAGACTGTTTAGAATGTCCACAGATTTGGCTAAGAGCAGACCTAGTTGGGGAGCTAAGGAGATACATCTGCTGCGCTTTAGTTCCCACCAGTGACCACAATAGGGATGGACTGGGCTGAACATGATAACATCTCTCAGCATTTTGTGGGCTGGGTCTAGGGATGTGCCAGACTGGGCTAGGTTCCAGCACCTACTGGAGCTTGAGAGAGACAGAGTAGGTGTGGGGTGGGCTGAGCTAGGTCATGGCACTTGAAGATACACATAAGAACTAGGTCTGGGGGTGGGCCAGGAAGTGGTAGGGTAGGGTTGTAGTCCCTACCAGTGAGAGCAGGAACAGGTGTGGGCTGGTCTGGCAAGGTTGCAGCAGCCACCATTTAATGTTGGGATTGGACCTGGTCCAGTCATGCTGAGCCAAACACATATAAGTGTGCATAATGTCTGCAACTGGGAGCTGGTCTGATAGAGAAGCTTGGGGAACTGCCCCATTAAGATGCAGCCCTGGCTGGCGAGGGCAAAAACTGAGGCTGGAAAAAGTCCAGTCCAGCCAGACTACAGTACCCATCAGCATATGAGTCAGGTTTGGGGGCGGGCTGGATTGGGTTAGTCTTCAACATCTGCTGGCAGGTGCAAGAGTCAGGATGGGGTACAGGCCAGATCAGGCTGACACCCAAG